AAGGATATACTCTAAAGAAAGATAATCAAGAACAAATGATACCTTGCATAAGAAAACGGTTAATTAAAGACAAAACTGATTTCCTTTGTAGCCGAACAGGTCTGTGGATAATTATTTCTCACATGGGGTTTAAATAACGCATTATTAATAAAAGACACGCCATAATGGAGTCATACCGTTCCATTATCTATCTCGACGAGGCGTACGTGGTATGAAATCCATGGTACTAAAGCGAAACAGAAGCTCTGTCAAATAAAGGGTAACGAGATTGCAGATAGTCTCGCAAAGGAAGGGACTCAGACACCCTTTGTGGGATCTGAGCCGTTCTGCGATATTAACAGTAACAAAATATTCGGAGAGATTAAAAAAAAATTGGGCAATAGAAGAACCGATAATTGGAACAATCTCTTTGGGCTAAGACAGGCTAAGATACTTCTGAGTGAATATAACCAGAAAAGATCGGAAGCCTGTATCTGCCTGAGCAAGAACGGGCTACACATTATAACAGGGATCCTTACGGGGCATTGCAGACTCAAAGGACACCTTAGTAAACTGAGAGTAGTGGAAGATGGTAAGTGAAGATTCTGTGAGGATGGCGACGAAACCTCCAAACATTCAGATCAGCTAAGTACTCGAACCCAAAATCTTCTAAACCGGTATTCGCGCTGGTGTAGCAGATGGAGGGTCACACTCAATCCACAAAAAAAAATACAGTCAGAGTCAGACTCGCTAAACAGACTGAAGTTGACTATTTGGGTCATTTGGGAGTGCGATTCTCTCGTACTCTTAATTGGTCCTCGGATGTACGATGTACTCTCGATTAGATGCGACAGCGAGCCAGTCTCCTTGGAGCTTTGTGTGGACGATTTGGACGATTCAACCCACACTCTAATTCGGCGTACTTCCAATACTCATCAAACTCGAGAGACGTATAATCCGATATTGCCAATATCTTCCCTTTCTCTCTCCCAGCGGAGAAGTTTTCTAAAACATCTTCAGCACCCCCATCGTCACACGTTTCCAAACCCCTTAGGAAACAATACGTCTTTCGCACTCTGAAAGGCTCAAATACACATTCACAAAACACTCTATAAATGCCTTGGCGCCCACGGCACACGGCGCCTCACACTAAGAAAACTTCCACAACCTAACTTAAGATTACTCTCAAGATATCTCACTCACCGCTGGACTCATCCCCATTATCTATAATTTATAGCCGCTGCCATTGCCAGTATCGTGATTTAGGTTTTCGTGGTTTCCTTAAATTATTTCCCACTTCATACTATACTTGAGGTTGGAAATAGCAAAATTTACGATATTATTTGGGAACACAACCTGCACACAGGTCCCACGCGCCAACACTTAGGAGATAGGTTAATATGTAATCAGGGCATACCATCCTGAAAAGAAGAACTCCTATAGCAGGGTATTAGAAAAATAAAATGACCTAGAAATATGTAACATCAAACTTAAACTGAAGTAAATATTAAACTAAAAAAAATCAACTTTTTTGGAATGTTCTATGTTTCAAGAGCCTAAAAATGTGGTGTACTTCGTTCGAAGCTAGCAAAGCATCCCGAATTTAATAAAAATACCAATTTTCTTTGGACAGTTATTATAATAGGCCAGAAAATAGATTAGATTTATCTGTGAAAAATTCGTTCGAAGCTAGAAGGTGGGAACACGCTGTCCTGTCGCATCGCGGTCTGTGTTAGTCTCGAGCGCGTGCCGTGAAGTTATTTCCTATATTTTATAACGCATGCATTTCCACTTGGTGTTCTCGAGTTTTGCTCGTTCGCAACGCGTTCTTGTCCTATCTTTTCCAAGGACTCTCGAGAGACCGCGCGCGTTTGAGACTAGCACAGACCGCGATTGCCTAATGCGTTCCCACTTCAAGGAGCATACAATTTTAGAATAGGGTATAAAAATAACCTAATATATGACGTAGGTTTCAAATTCCCTAGGTGCTCTGCTGCCTTCTTTAGCATGAATTTAACCCACGATCATTAAACTTCGTGATAGTTTTTCAATAAAAAAATGTTCAAAACTTGCATATCTATCTGCATCACTGCATAATAGATAAATAATTTTGAAATAAAAAAGTCTGATCATGATCTTTTTTTTTCAAATAAATAAAATATTTCGAATTTTTTAAGTAAAAACCACATCGGACTAGTCATTCTTGTATGTTTATTACATTTTTTATAACTGACGCAACACTTACGCCATTTCGATAAGAACATGGTTATGGGGTGACCGTTAGCAAAAAATATGTTTTATTATTCATTTTCATCTGTTATTAATGAATATTAAATGCGTTTATCACCGAATTGGAGAGAAAAAAAATTCATTATTTTTTTTGTATAAAGAATTTTTAGTCAAAATATAATTTAACCAAATCGGTATGGCAAAATGATGGATTACAGATAAGATTTGTGGCATTATACAACAGATAATAAAATGATACGTTTAAGTTATCATTGTAATGCAGGTATTTTCAAGAGTTCTATGAAATTACAAAAGTTCGATAAGAAGATTAAAATATTTGAAAAAAAATCTATTGTTATAAAACAATAAAACCTATTTAGATACCGATTGGGGGTCTGGGATGTATTAAGGTGGTCAAAAAAAAACTAATTTCAAAATACATATGCTTTTTTTTATGTACAAATTCAACACATATTACCCGCATACAAATTTACAGGGTAGCGCGGGACGAAAATGTACTAGAGCTATTATCAGGAATTGCGTCAACATTTTAGACAAACGCTTAATCCGTCAATGTATGATGACTATCTTTCTTATCAAATCTTCAAATTTCATCTCTGCAGGATTTTTAAAGTAATTAAATTATTGTTTCATTTAATTATGTTGTGTATTAAATTATTAATAAAATTAGCTTTTAAATGAGGTGTCAGTACAATAACAAATTTATATCGCTAGAGGACGCTAAAATCAAATGTAACGCAATAATAATCATATTGCTAAATCAATCATAACATTACATGTTCAATGATGTGTCATGCTTGGTACTTTCCCTATTTAAATAAAATTGATTAGATTGATAGAAAGGGGAATGACGTATAACGTTTGAGGATATGATAGAAAGATGTTCCCCTTAATCAAAAAATGACGTGTAGATTTGTTTTTCTGATTTTTAAGAGTTCATCTCGGAGTTTATGGTTTTTTATAGGATATTTCCATAGTTTTTTTGTTGGAATTTTCTGGCGATTTCTCCTATTGTTTGCTAAGGAATTTTTTGGGGTCCTTTTTGAATGTGTTTTTCAGATGTCATTTTCTAAAAATATTCTATCCCTTTCAATGGCTTATTCTACGGTGATTTACAATCTAAATAATGGAAATTATTTATTGTATGACTTTCAAAATAAGAAAAAAATAATATGTATGTCAATGATTATGTATTAAGAGATTGATTATTTTAAAGAATTCAATTGTGTTAAGATTCCTATAGACGCTTTTCAAAGTTTTACCCTCAGTTTTTTATACTACTGAGTTAATTCATTTTTACAGTTGTTATTGTTAATAACATGTTTTTATAAATATTAAAGGATAATTTATGTTTTGCGTTTTTGGTTATAAAAATATTTAATCAATTGTTACGCGAGAAAAAAAAATCGTTACATCTCAAAAACTTATGTACCTACGTAAAAATTAGAGTAATAAAGTTCATTACTTCACATACAAAGAATACAATATACAATACATATTTTTTAAATTGGTGCTAACGTTGCCTCAATTTAATTGTTAAACACAAGTAAAATATTCTATAAACAAAAATAACAATACTTATACATTCACATATCCAAATAAAGGAATAGAGATAAAAAGCTGTTGAGATTTAATAATTCTAAAAATCTCATTTACTCATAGATTAACAGATATAATTTCTATTTTAAATATGTATAAAGTAAGAGTAAATTTTCGTTTGCCTGACACATGTTTTCTTAATGTTTTATTCATTTATAATGAAATAAAAATGTACAAACACTACAATGGTTTTATTTCAGACTGGGGTAATTAAATAAATTTGGGATAGGTTATTGTTCTGTTATCTGTTCAAATGTTTTATGATATTAACAAGGCATTTGACTGTGTACTGACTGTCCGTCAATTAGGTATATTTCTGAATTGTGGGTACTTATTTTATATGGTAAATCAAAAACTATTCGGAAACATTAAACAACTATTTGAGAGAAATATGTTTACATACTAAACAGATTTTATAATCAGTAATAATTAATAAGGATAAAACTTATATATTTTTATACGAATTTCGCTGTTATTAAACATTCTTTGATTTACACACATACCTACTTCCTACTTAGAATAGGTATTTTGTTTAGATTTTCGCGGCAGTTTCTGAGATATATCTATTGTTTGTGCAATTATTTCCATAGGTGAGCATGAAATTTGCTTCAATTAAAATGAAACCTTGCATTTTTATTGTTAGGTCTACTCATACTTGATGTCTATTATACGTACAATTTTTCTGAAAAGTACAATATCATATTACAAGCAACCGATGATCGAGGTTATATTAAAATGTACAATAAGTAGGGACACACATTATGAGTAAGTTTGAATGACTCATTCAGTAAATTTATTGATATTTTAAATGTATTGAAAAACGTTTTGTGTGTCACACAATTTTAGAATTTCTTCACACACCGTCAACTGAAAATTGTTTTCTAAATGTTTTATTATTGATATTCGTAAATGTCATAAAGACAGTTCTGCGGGTAAAGCAAGAAAATCCACCGATATACAAAATATTATAATACCTATGTATATGAAGATTAAGTATTAAGTATCTGATAAAGTACTTGAATATATGGGCGTAGCTAGTAGTAAACAAGAAAAAACGAACTATTTACTGATATTTTACAAGGAAAAGCGAAACTAAGGTTAGATATTTTGGCGTATAACAATAAAAACAAGAAACATGCCACTGGCCAATCGAACTATGTATTGAAACTTACCTCGTTAAATCTCTCCTTGATTTCCTCGCGTTCTTCCTGGGTGATTCCTGACGAAGCCATGTCTGTAGGAACTAATTTCAAAAACAAAAAGCGAATTATTATAAAAACTTAATATTTTGTACACTTGGTGCAAAAGGCACCACAACACAAATCAAGCAGCCGCTTCGAACGATAGACTAAATTCTGTACAAGCAACGTTGCCGCTTGCAACTGTCGGTATTCGGCTTCAAAACGCCGAGTTGCCAGACTATCCTTATCCCACCATGTGCCCACCATTGCCTCTCCCTATTAGCGATTATTAAGATACGAATTGTGAATAGGTTGTAAATTGTGTTAACGTTGCCAGCGCTATTCCAATTATTTGAACTAGGGAATTTTTTTAATTTACGTTTTTCGAATTATTCTCAATCATAAAATAAACGGGTTAAACGAAGAAAGGGTGTACAGGCAAACTATTTTGCATCAAATAAATAAAGATGTATATATACTATTACGAAATAGGTAGTCTTCACATGTAACTACATAGGTAATTCCCATATAAATATATTTTTACCTTTTGTAGATGAAAATTTATATTGCATTGTAGAGGCCAGAATAAACCTAAACCTATGAAATGAATTAAAAATTAAAGCGATGCCCCCTCGTATAGTAATTTTACTGTTGCAAGTGGAAACTTGCATAAAAATCTAGAAAACACATCAATTCGAACTACCCAGAGGCGTATCCATGAAATATACACAAAGTCGAAATATTTTTCTTAAATTTTAAAAAATATCCACCACTTAGGGGTCGTTTTGGAGTATTTATGTTATAGCCCAGTAAACCACAAATAGTCGGCATTCGCTCGGCCTGTCACCGGCATGTACGGGAAGCCGAGTACTCGGATTGCCGTTGTCGGCGTTTATTCTGAGCCGGGAGGACCGTACCATTTGACGTAATTTAGAAGTAAAAACCGCATACGGTCCATATATTTGGCGTTCCAGATATGGGAAGCATCCTTACGAGCCCAACGCGGTTAATTTGACTAGCCGGGCATGGGAGGCATCCTTACGGGCCGAATTATATAGATATATGAACGCGGCTACAATTTAGTGCGCTGCCGACATTCGGCTGGGCGGACATGCCCTACCTATGCCGAAGCTGCACCTGTATATCGGGCAGAGTCCCGCATCCGGCAAGCCTCCTTCGACCCAGTTACGGTGCCGATAAACTGTGTTTATTGGGAGGTATTTATATTAAAATTATTTAAAAAAAAAACACAAAAATATGAAAACTTACCTGTAACTTTTGTAGAACGTCTTTTAGACACTATGATAAATGCATTTCAAATAAAAATCTTGCACAGTGAGATCATTTTAAATAAAACTTAAGATATAAAATAATTAAATTCAACAATTATTTTTTTCGACATTTTGTTAAAGAATGACACTTGTATAAAATCAAACCACTATCTGTGACTAGATGCGTTCAGAATTGAACACAATAAGGCTAGCGCTACATACATAAATTTTAGTGCGGTCCCAATAAATACAGTTTATATCGGCACCGTAACTGGGTCGAAGGAGGCTTGCCGGATGCTGGACTCGGTCCGATATACGGGTGAGATTTCGGCATATAGGCTAAATGTCGTCAGCCCACTAAATTGTAGCCGCGTTTATATATCTATGTATAATTCGGCCCGTGATGCCTCCCATGTCCGGCTAGCCAGATATTAACCACGTTAATGGTTGGGGGCTGGTTGGCAACTGTCTGAGAACATTTTGAAATATTTGAGTTTGAATTCACGACAGTTTTAAGCGCTCCCAAAACAGTTATTTTTCGTATTGTAATTTGCTTTGGCGGGAATTTAAAATGTGAATATTCGGCTAATATATGCGCGTTATAGCTCAGGCCAAGGGGACCCGGGCTCCCTGGTAATAATAATAAATTTTAGTTCCTATAAAAAGTTAGGTTTAAAAATTCGCCTCTGCCTATATACGTCGGTGTTCTCGTAGCACTCCATCGAAGTATTGATGAGAAGTGCATATGTAACCAAATTGCGATTATAATCCATAGAACATAATGTCTAACAATGAATTGTTATTGTTAAAATGCATTTTAATGTGAACGGTGATCGCTATCGTAATATGCTAAGTTTTTATGGGCCGAGTCGTATATAGAAACGGAATACATATGTTTCAGCAGAATGGCAGAATACCTATCACACTACACAAAGAAAGTTTCCCGGGTGTGTCATCTCACTTACCGCCTTGTGATTTCTTCTATTTAGGTTCTTTGAAACCACTCGTATATGCTAATATAGGCTATGCAATAATTATATGAAAATGTAATTGAAAATTTCCTGAAAAGAATATCATTTTCAACGTTTAATGTCAATACATAAGATTATAATATTGTGAAAAAATATTTTTAATATATAGCAATTTAAAATTGATTATTATTACAAAAAAAATTATTTTACGCTGATTTAAAATAAGCTAAATTAACTATGAGCTCTTGAGCCGACACTGTACGTATGAAAATTAGAGTGGGGCAAAATGGTGCTTCTTTATCTAAATGGCAAGTAGAAGTTGGAAAGGCTTTTGGTAGGTAGAGAGGGGGTAAACGTCAAACCACGTCGGGTGGCTCCGAGAATTTCACAGTAATGTTTACCTGCCAGTGTCGTTTCATAGAATAAGCAATTTTAAATTTTTACCGGCGGAACCGGACAATCACATGTATTTATGAACTATAAATAATTATTAAACATGTATTATAATATTCCAATCATAATTTTACAAAATTTCAACAGCTATTCACAATTTATTAAACTATTTACTCGAAAATATTAAAATCTATAAAATAATTTTGTACGCCAATGTATCGCGTCCACTTCGGTTAGATCCGCCGAAAACCTGTCAATTTAAGTGTATAAAGTGGGAGAACTGGCAAAAGCCTTTCCAACTTCTACTTGTGCATAGTTGAGCGGTTTATACATAATATAAAATATAATATGCATCAAAGAAACTTAAAATATAAATTTCTTTATAGCCACAACATAGGTATAGATCTTTAAAAACAAAATCCTGTTATTTCAACAACAAACTTGCTTTATAGAACAACTCGACACATTTAGAAATATCTTTAATTTACTCTTTGATTGATGTAAGTATAAATTTCACGGATTTGCTAAAAAAAAAGAAACAAACTATTTTGCTATCTCCTGTAAAATATTATTCACTTTTTCGGGATGAGCGAAGTGTTCCTTATCCTTCCTGGTGTTCCTTCATGCCAAATTGGAGACTAATTTTGATAAAGTCCTAGTATATATGCAACTAAAATTACACGTATATGTATTGTTGGTCACCGGTGACATTTAATACTAAAACGCCACTAAACTATAAACACTAAAGTTATTGACTTTATTTGGTATATCCAAAGAAGTAGGGAGGGTAGAATGATAAGGATCGTCTGCGCATCCATCACGAGTGTAGAAATTATGCATGATTTAACATTCCACTCTTACACACGTAAATGACAAGGAGAGATTGCCCTAAAGCAATTTAAACAAATTCCAGGATTGGCTTTGTTTAGTGATTATGATCATGTTCAGCTCTATTTTTTGTTGTGGCTGTTGTAAGCTTTTTGGGGCCAATTCTTTGTTATCTTGCTTATATTTCGATTTAGTATTAAATAATACTTGTTAATTATTTTCCGATGCACTATTTTATAATTGTTGCACAAAATGTTGTTAAACCGTCCCTGAATCCTGGAGTTATCATTCTACCCCTCTCCACTTCATTGAGTATATCAAGTATACAACCACCAATACAAGACTTGAATAATACTGGTTGCGTGTATATTCTATTTAAGGCACAATTTGGGAACGCGAGACCAATGCAGTTTTAAAAGTGCTGTCGCGTCTCTTGCAACGGTCGCGCTGTCCCAAATGTGCCTTATAATTGGAAACCCATATATTAACCTTTTTTTTCTTGTACGTTAATCCGCACCTGAACCAAGTGGTGGGTTTAACTTTTGACCAACAAGCCTTCTAGAATGTAGTCCGATTCACATGGCAAGTTGTCTATCAAGAATTTTTTAGTTAGATTTAGTACGTAGTGAGCAGAACAAGCAAACTAAATTTCCTCAGTTGTCTCTTTCGCGCGATGTTTGGTAGAAGACTTAGAGCACTGTATAATCTGAGGAATGAAGTTTGTTGGCTCAGATCAGGTAGAGCTCGTAATATTTATGTCTAATGACTTTGTTATGGTTGCACTAAAAAAAAAACAATTCCTTCCGATTTAAATTGGAAGATTACTAACGTGGGAGACCTAAAGATTGCAAAAATGGTCATGTAGTCAGAACTTAACAATTTATTGATCATTTTAATTAGGTTGTCAAACATTTTGTTGCTTAAACGATGTGATAACACTTTTTTTTGGAAAACTTAAGATTATACATAATCACGGTGGTATTTGATTTAATTCATAAAATATACAAAAGATTTTTATTACTTTGTACAGTAAGAGTTGTACAGTACCATATTTATTTATTTATTACATTTATCATAAACATAAATTACATAAACTTGTCTCCAATTTTAATTGATATATTATTCTATACCGGATGTCCCATTATTGTAGCAAACTCCAATAAAGCCATTATTTTAATATACAAATACAGTAATTTTAAAAAACACTGGTAATATTTTACAAAGATAATCCCATAAAATTATGAAAAGGAACATTTATAGTAAATTTGGGTTCCAATATCACAATTTTAGTGTTTTTCAAAAATTCAAAAAATTCTTTATTTTATAAGGTTAGCTATTTATTATCAAATACACAATGCAATAAAAGGAATGTTATATAAAAAAAATGTTTTAACCTAAAGTAGCCTGATTTGTCCAGGTCATTTTTGATTTCAGGTGGCTTCAAAACAGGTTTATCTTTCAAAATAATCATATAATCATGGTATGAATGGCAGTGCTAAAGAATAAAGGTCAGTGATCAACCTCTGGTCTCAACCTGTAAATGAAAGCACGTTATACAAACAGGTATTTACATGCAAAATACTCCAATTATAATTAAAATTAACGATCATTTTCGCTTTTAATTATTTTTTTTTCAAATACAGATATGAGTTTCAGTCTGAATTATAGCTAAATTTGGCACCACCTACTAAAAGATACATTTCAATAAAGAAATGCCTTTGTAGAGGTTTCCAAAGCATCAATACTAGGCTTATTAGTGTTATTTAGAATTCCACATGGTTGTAGGTCTACAATGATCCCGATTGATAACCTTAATTAGACAATGAAACATGGCAACTCTTAACGGTGATTGCCATTATTTTATATGAAACACAGTTGTGTTCCAAGTTCACCTACTTCTAGTAAAGCACATATATACTTCCATTAATTTTCTACATTACTGGTCTCTTGTAGCGATTTGAGAGTAGACATTTAAAAATTTAATGTGGTGATGTATGTGTTGACACAGTGAATGATTATGAAGTAGAACTCTTCAATGGTGACACAATGATCCCAAAGGAGGGCAGTGCCACCATGCTTGATCACCAAGTCCTAGATACAGACTAAGGTGATGGCAAGGAGAGTCCAAAGGGACAGAAAAAACTAAAAGCATCGAGTTTTAACTTCTCCAGTGTATCCAATATTTTTAGGTAAAATTCGTCAAAATACACTTGTCTTAAGAAATACATTACTTCAAAGGAAAACGCTTAAATATTACAATAAGTTAGTTATTGGACTTGCCATAGTAGTGGGACATACCCATAAGTGACAGATTATTAGTAGCTTAAATGTGGAATTTACAGATTTATTGAGTTTAATTTGAGCTACTAATAATTCTGATTTAAATTGTAAAAGTTATAATTAAATAATAGTATAATTTTAACAATATATTACACAGGGAAAAATGACAATTTCAAATAACTTTTGTTACTAAAAATGGTAACAACTAAAATTAAAAAAAAAAAAAAAAATAGTTAATGTACATTATTTCTGTATACAGAATTTTGCAGATATAAATAAAATAATACAATGATATCGAACTGTAAGCGCCAGTCATTTGAAACTACTTGGAAAAACAAAATGAAAATGTTTTTTTGTATAAAATGGATATTTATATATCTTGTTGACTAAATACAGTGGAAAAAAATTATGAAACAATATTTTAAATGGTGTATGGCAAAATATGACAGCTGATAAAATGATAAAAGTGATATTTTTCCGGCTTGCTACTCACCCACTCCTGTCAAAGGAGTAGGGGACGATGAAACAGTCGACATCATTCTGCACTGCTCTTTTACAACTGGATCTGCACATAAAAGGAAAACAAAATGTTATTTTTAATACAAAGAAATATGGAAATTTAACTTTAAAAAAGTCCAAATAATCCGATGTATTTTAGCATTGTATGAAGATATTCTAGTAGGATAACCTTATGGAAAGATTGTTGGTTATTAGTAATGGGTAAATATATAGGTAGTTATAATTTTATTATTCAATATAATTTTACTAAAATCGGCACCGACAAAATTTAAGGTGATTACAGCACCCCCTTATAATTTTCGGACAAGCAAATCTCAAAAAGTAATTTTTTTAAAAAATTAAAATTTTGAAAAAACTATATTAGGCAATAATATCTAGATATGCGTATATTTTAAATTTTTAGTTTCTTCCAGTTTCCGAGAAAAAATCAAAGGGCTTTAAATTTTGAAATATCATAATGAAAATAAAAGCATTCCTCAACAGCAGTATTCTTAATATAATCCCCAAATTTAAGCTCTTAATCTCTCGTTAGATTTTTTTAAATTCGCCGAAATTAGTAGCTAAAACGTTTCGTTTAGTGCTATTTTCTGGTGTAAACTGGTGTAAATCGTTGCAAGAAACGAATGATGACTCAGAGTGTACGATACGATAGTTAGAGACGCCTTACACCAGAAAGCAGCACTTAACGAGGCGTTTTAGCCACTAATTTCGGCGAATTTTAAAAAATCATTAACAAGAGATTAAGAGCTTAAATTTGGGGATTATATTAAGAATACTGCTGTTGAGGAATGTTTTTAATATCATTATGATATTTCAAAATTTAAAGCCTTTTGATTTTTTTTTTTTCGGAAACTGGAAGGAACTAAAAATTTAAAATATATGCATATTCTAGATATTATTGCCTTATATAGTTTTCCGAAATTTTAATTTTTTAAAAAAATTACTTTTTGAGATATCCTTGTCCGAAAATTATAAGTGGGTGCTGTAATCACCTTAATTAACAGATTCTTTTGCTGTAAGGTAAACTTATAACAATACCAAACACGTTTGCAGATTTTAGTGAAATTTTACTGAGTAATAAAAAATTTAAGACATTCATAATTTTTCAGTTTTCAACTTTTAACACCTTTTGAAAAAGAGTAACATTTATGGTAGCAGAGTCAGTAGCACATTTAGGTGTATTATTTTTGAAAAGACAAATTTACAAATTTTTAATTTTTTTATACATGGAAATACTTTGCTGCATCCCTGCAGCAATGGAGCACTCAACAAAGGCGCCTTAAAAAAGAAATTATAGAAAATGAGCATGTTATACAGTGTGTCTACTTAAGTTGGACCTGTGACAGGTCCACAAAAAAAGAGTGGTCTGTGGGGTGTTCGACAAAGATTTTCCGACGTATTTTTTACCGCTGAACACGAATCTGAAGTCAAAATTGGGGGGGTCAAACTGCAAAAAACGGAGAAAAATTAAAAAACCGATAAGATCCATTATTGATTTTATCGGTTATTTTAATTTTTCTCCGTTTTTTGCAGTTTGACCCTCAATTTTGACTTCAGATTCGTGTTCAGCGGTAAAAAATACGTCGGAAAATCTTTGTCGAACGCCCAGCACAGACAACTTTTTTTTTTGTGGACCTGTGAATTATTAATACTACTCTTAAATATTTGTTACTAATTCATTTACTTGTGAATTTATGTGTAAATATATTTATAAATTACACTGGTCAACAGTGATTTTGTGGACGAGGGTTTAAGAGCCTTTTAGGGCGATGATTTTACCGATTTCAAATGTGACGCGCGTTTTGCCTGATTGGCTTTAGTTTTTGAGAGTCAACCAGTAGAAATATTAAAAAAAAAAATAGGCAAATAATAATTTTATTTATTTATTTAGTTTAATCAGTTTTGTCTGAGCTAACTAAAAGGCTGTATTCTATAAACAATGAAAAATAGTGATAAAGTATAAAAAAAATGTTATTCAAAAAGAAGACGTAGAATTCATATCTGCATAGCATTAAAAATTGACTTCATTAAATATTCACTAGATGCCGCCCAAGATAACCTCACACTTCTTACTGTAGCATTATCCTACTATATCTTCATAAAACTATTTTAGTTTGAAAACAAAGAAAATGGGGATCCAACTAGTTATTTTAAAATGTAATTAATTAAATTCTTAATTGTTAGAAATATTTAACTATATTAAAATGAAAGCTGCACAAAAATCCATATTTGCATGGCAAAAACTTAATTTTAACTGAATATTTAATTTATTCCATTTTTAAACAACTAATTTAAATCATCCAAACAAGAAAATTAATTAATTATTAATAAAATATATTCAAAATTTAACTTTAAGAATAACTATATTAAACATGATTAGTAAAATAAGTTTTAAGTATTTTTTATTCGTGAGTAAATAAAGTATAAAAAAACTTACAAAAATATGAATGTTCCATAGCATCACGTGCTGTAAGGCGTTCTAAATGATCGTAACGTAGTAATTTATCCAAAAAATCTAATGCTTCAGGTGATACTAAATGTTGGTTTTCACTATGAACAAAACGTTCCCACCTTTTCCTAGAGTGTCTATGAACAAAAACAAAAATTCCTTCTGAAAAACCATATTTACAGTATAGACCAATCACTTACCGTCCTAAAATATCATTAAATCTTGGATCTAGCTCTATATGGTATTTATCAAGGTACTCAAAAAGCTCTTCTGTACCTAAAACTTTTGCTATACGGACTAACTGATCATAATTATCATGACCATGGAAAAATGGCTCCTTTCTAAAAATCATCGAAGCCAGCATACATCCCAAAGACCACATGTCCAAAGAATAGTCATACATCTGATAGTCTACAAGAAGCTCAGGACCTTTAAAGTATCTGGAAGCAACCCTAACATTATATTCTTGTCCAGGATGGTAAAATTCAGCTAAGCCCCAGTCAATCAGACGTAATTTTCTATTTTCATGGTCAATCATAACATTGTGTGGCTTTACATCCCTAAAAAAAAAGAGTAATTTATAAATAAGACTTAGTTTCACTTTCAACCAATAAAACTTTGAGAGCCACAATATAAGCCCAGTTTTTGTTACAATTATATTTAATTTATTTCCATTTTGAGTTAATATTAAATAAATATGTCAGCCTGTGCTGCCCAAGGTGTTGCCATATAGGAACTGCAAAAAGGCAACTATAGGAAGCCTAGTTTCATTTTTGTTAAACCTTTACAATATCTTAGTTGGACTTTATAGTAGCTCCCAAAATTACAGCATGTGCCTTGTAACTCACCTATGCATAATACCCATACTATGGCAGTAATCCAAAGCTTTTAGTAGTTCATACAAATAATAACGAATATCAAAATCTGTGAGAGTTTGATAAAGCTGCTTGAAATCAGTGTTGTTGACATGTTCAAATATTAAAGCAGGTGTCCTAGATACAGGATCTTTAACAACAGCTTCTAATGTTATTATATTTGTACCACCTCTTAAATTTTCTAATATTTTTATTTCTCGTTTTATTTTCTTCTTTTTTACAGGCTGGAAAAAAGAGATCAGGTTTCAAACTATTCCAGATAGGTAAGTAATTCACTAAGAAATTGTTAGTGATCATTTTTAATTAAAATAACAGTATTTTGTAAGATTTATATATATATATATATATATATATATATATATATATATATATATATATATATATATATTTATATAACAAAAATAAATGCAAGTTTACTTATCAAAAACTTTTAATTTTTGTAGCTAATATTCTGAAATGAATTTTAATACAAAAAAGTTTCAGCCTTATAAGCTCTTGTTATACTGAAATAATTATCAGAAAAGCTACATAGTGGATTATCTCGAATTTTTAATAATAGGCTAAAATGTGGTCTCATTCTTCATAATAATGCAATGTAACTCAAGCTTCTGTGGAGGCCATTTATATTTTATTATAAAAAATATTAAGGTCTAATCAAAAACTATTAAAAATTATTTGTAAAACTTGGGAAATATTTTAATGAGCAATTCCATAAAAAATTTAATAAACAAATTATTAAAAAATTGTATTGTTTTAAATTTTGTATTAATTTGAAAAGTAAATAGAATCTTAATGCTGAAATGGTTATTAATGGATTAACTTATAATATTTTGTATGTACAAATTTACAAGAAAAATTGCTCTATCCCAAGCACGACCTTCATATATATTTTTTTAAATAGAGCTTTTCAATTCATATTTTTAATTTGTTAAATAGACAATAATTGTCATTCCTTTATTCGTGTACATTAACAAAATATATGAAATAAATTATAGAATTGTACTACTAAGATGACCAACGTTATCTCAGAATGTTTCAAGATATTACCACCAAACTGTACAAAAATCTATTAAATACATAAATTTACTTTAACTAAGTTATCATTCGACCCCATACATTAAAAAATAGACCTGATGGCATTTTTAAATATGCATATTAATGACAAAAATGAACTCTTATGATGAATTTTTAGTACTGAAAATTACCTATAATGGCAAATTGCATAGTTTGATATAAATGAATGAAATACTTTAGAACTTCTTTTTCTATCAATATTATTTTAAAATTAATTTAATCATTTAACAGCCTATCAAGGTCAAAAACATTGTTCCAATTTATGATATAACAGTCTTAAACAAATAAAATTGATAAACAACAGAAACAATATTAAAGAAAACTTATGTAATTAAGATTTGTACAAAAAATATACTAATAACACTGTACTTATACAAATTAAAGAATGATCAGGGTCAGGCCAAAATTTAATATAACATTTGGGTGATTCTGTAATGAACTCAATACAAACAAGTACTGGAAAAAATAATTTTACAATATAAATGGGATTAAATACTGTGAATAGAATAAATATAATAGTTATGTAAATTCAACGTTTAATTGTTGGCTCATTTAAGTAAGAATCACCCATATACCCAATTAGTGAAGAAAATTTAAAGAAAAACAATGTTATAGAAATGTTAATGTAATGATACATACAATAAGGAAATTAGGATTACTTACCTTTAATATTTTAACTACACATTTTTCATTATTTGTTACATTAATAGCTTCAAATACTTCACTATATTTTCCTCGTCCTAGCTTCCTAACCAACTGATAATCATCTTGCTGGCCCCAATCCACAACGTAACTTTCATAGTCCCAATATTCCCTGGGTTTATGAGAATTAACATCAGAGTACACTCTAGCTCGACTAGGTACGGCCATTGTCTTGTAAAGCACTTTATTATTTACAAATTGTCGCGCATAAGGTCTGCTTCCTTCGTTACAAACTGAAAGAACGTTTATACTTTGTAGGAACAAAATTAGTAAGGGTTTTTCTTAGGTGTAATGTGTCATCTAGTACTGGGTCAAGTTACCTTGTTCTATGAACAATTTCGCTATTCTAGAAAAATTTATCAGCATTACTACATTTCATAATCTCCAAAGTTTTCAATTAAAATGCGGATTTTCATAATGAGTTTGGTATAGGTGGTACTCGCCATTCTCTCATACTAGACTAGCAAGATTGGATAAAACCTACACTTAAATACATCATACCTAATTCATTCCGGGTTATAATATTTATTCTCGTATGGCCAGCTAACACATTGTAACTTTATAAACTAAGCGATTTATTTTTAAATTTTTCCGTTCTATTTTAACTCACTTATTTAGCCGGCTTCTTACTAAAGAATCTGAACCAAGATGGAAGTAAGTCCCATCCCGCCACGATAGACTGGATTGAAAGCTTATTCGGTATATCGTATACCCCTCTAAAACTACATTGCAGCTTACATGGGCGCACCACCATACATCGCCACGTGCTCACTCCCCAAAAACACACCCTTTTTCATTATTTTTCTTACCCAAACGCACAATTGAAAGGATTTTTCTTTAAACAAACCAAATTTTTGTTAAAAAAATTACCTTAATCTATTTTCATAATCACAGCTCCAAAAAGAAAATTGTCTTCCGCACACCACTGATTTTCAAGCAATCGTACCAACACAATAACAGAATAACACCTTGATTGTTTATAGAACTATTTATCAGCGCGTAGTTCAAATGACTCAATTATAATCTTCACAAATATTTTACAAAATTAAAGCTTCCTTTTTGTTATAATAAATCAAACATTTATCTAATATATAAATAAACACTTCATTAATCAGTATTGTCGATTGCCGTTACGTTCACGGAAATGGCTGCGTTCCGATTTCCTGTCCATAAATTCGTTCAATCGCACTAGACACCATTGCTGCGTTTGAATATCGACATCGGATGCATCTGAGATGTGAATTTTGTATCACGTGATAGAGGGGACAGGGATTCTTATGTGTGTACTCAACACGTAAAGAATTGAATAGAGAGACATTACATACGAATCGCATTCTGTGGAACGAAGATAGTCGTCTCAACACGTGCCCAATTGAAAGATGAGAATCCCATAACAAACGAACTAGACCACAGACTATTGGTCACGTGATTAAATGACAAGTTTGAAGTTTATATTTTTTAAATTTGACTTTTAAGACTAGAAATCAACCTAAATTGGAATTCTAAACAGAAATTAAACAAACTAATTACTGTTATATTCACGCTGGCATAAATAAAGGAAAAATAGATAAAGTTGGCTTCACAGAACACCTACTTTCTGACATTGATCAAATATCTAATTTCAAATCGAGATGTAAAACATGTAATCTGGACAGCTACATCTCGGATAAACAAACGCAGATGTGTATAAAATATTGCTCGAGATGTAAAAAATGCATCGGATGTGGATATTCAAACGCAGCACATCTACCTCTATTTGATTCATTAAAAAATCAGTAGTTCTTTTTCTAAATATTAGTGCATGAAGTTCAATAATATTGTCAACTATAGATTGCTTACAGTTCCATTTTAATGTGGGTCAATGAACCAGTTCATTGATGTGCGTCTAGAATTCGCGTAATCTATGGTCTAGAAACAGGGTTGGTCTAGCTAAGGTTATACATTTCAAATTAGTGGGAACCAGCATTGGGATTCTTATTTTTCAAATACAACACGTGTTGAGACGACTATCTTCGTTCCACAGAATGCGATTCTTTATTTGATTCGTTACGTTTCGAGTTCGCACATAAGAATCCCTGCCCTGGTTTTTCATTTCCTTCCCGTTTAATAAATTAAACCCAAAATATATCCAAACGTTTATTTAAAAATTAGCGTGATATTGAGCGCATCTCGCTCAAGATTTTAAAAACTTTTGAACCCATACTTTTAAAAAGAACCTTCCTATTTATTTAGTTTATCTAAATTTTTTATCCATATTAAGATTAAAAATCGTTATAAAAAATAAAAAAAATGAAATCAAAACGGAAGTGGCGGAGATCTTAAATTAACGAAGGTTTTGTTTTAATAGACTCAATTTTTTAAATAAACTTAATGTAATGTCATATTTTGGAATTGCTGTTTTCGTAAGTCATAGTTAATATTTTGTTTAAAATAACATTACTTTTTCAATACAAACATTTTTATATAAAATGTGAACACATAATTAACGGTATTAAATTTTTCAGTTTTAGAACATAATAATTATCTATTTTAAAATTTATTTAGGAGGGGAGCCGTTAGAAATTATTACACGTAGTACGAGTGCTACGAAGAGTATTATTATTAGAATGAGAAATTAATCACTTTCAGCGCAAGTAAGCTGAGAAAATGTAACTCTTTTACAGCAATCGTAGAATAAATGTTTGTTCTATTTAATAGGGAACAAAGTTTGAGAGTATAAAATATTACATATTTTTTGACCTCGGTAAATGAATGAGCGTTATTTCAGGAAATCTCTAAGCTAAACCTACTTAGATATTCAGTAATAATGAATGTGTGACGCGGAGCCAACCCTGTGTAAGCGCGTCCCTGGAATCTTCTACCAGCCCATGGGTCTCTCCGGTAGTCCTGGTCCAGAAAAAGGATGGAACTACAAGATGCTGTGTGGATTACCGTCAGTTGAACAATGTTACCAAGAAAGACACTTACCCTCTGCCTCGTATCGACGATACCTTTTGGACACATTGGCCAGATGTAAACCATTTTCTATCTTAGACTTAGTCTGGATATTGGCAGGTGGAAATGGACCCAGTAGACAAAGAAAATACTGCTTTTACCACCGGATCTGGATTGTGGCAATTTAATGTCATGCCATTTGGACTATGTAATGCCCCCGCGACATTTGAAAGACTTATGAAAAACGTATTGAGAGGGTTATCCTGGAAAACATGCCTGGTGTATTTAGACATCATAGTCTTGGGGAAGATATTTGATAGACATCTAAAAAACTTAAAAGACTTCAAGCTGCCCAACTGATGCTAAACCCCAAGAAGTGCCAACTATTTCAAAATAAAGTTAATTACCTGGGTCATGTAGTCAGCAAGGATGGCGTGGCTGTAGATAAGGAAAAAGTCGCTTATATCAAAGAGTGGCCACAAGTGCCACAACCAAGGGATAACCACCAAATTAGAAGTTTTCTTGGGCTTTGTACATACTACTGAAGATTGATAAAGAAGTTTGCAAATATTGCTAAACCACTAACGCGACTCACAGAAGAAGCAAGATAATTCTGCTGGGACGAAGACTGCCAAACTGCCTTCGAAACTTTAAAGAAGCATTTAACAACAGCGCCAATATTAGGTTACCCACTACCAGAGGGAGAATTTATCCTGGATACTGATGCCAGTAATGTGGGATTTGGAGGAGTGCTTTCACAGATTCAAGGGGGAAAAGAAAGAGTACTGGGTTATTTTAGTAAAGTGCTCTCGAAACCTGAGCGAAATTACTGCGTCACGAGAAGAGAACTCCTGGCAGTTGTGAAATGCGTGGAACAATTCTATCAATACCTATATGGCAAGAAATTCTTAATCCGTATCAATCATGCCGCTCTTAAGTGGTTGATGCAGTTCAAAAACCCGGAGGGTCAAATCGCCAGATGGATTGAACGACTTCAAGATCGAATATAGAGCCGGGATAAGTCACAGAAATGCCGATTCTCTTTTTAGAAGACCATGTCCAGCAGAGGGCTCCCACTGCAACAAAGCGGAATCCAAAGAAAGTGGACTACTAAGAACAACTGTAGTCAACGATGAGTGGGCCCCTGCTAAAATTAGGGAAGAACAAGCGAACGATGCCGTTCTAAATAAGATGCGACAATGGAAAAAGGAAAATCGTCGGCAAGAAGTATCTAATCTCTCTCCAGTACTTAAGTCGTATTTGGCTCAGTGGGAATCCCTTATCCTGGAAGATGGCTTATTAAAGCAAGTACTTAAAAATGTTCCAAGAACAGAAGACAGTTGGACATTCCAAGGAGTAGAGTAGCCAAAGTACTTCGTCAGTTACACGACAGTCCATCAGGAGGACATCTCGGTGTTAGGAAAACCCTTCAGAGAGTTCGGGAAAGGTTTTATTGGATGAACAGTTCCGATGATGTAAAGGACTGGTGTAAGAAATGTACCAGCTGTGCTATAAGTAATGGACCTTAGTGAAAAAGGAAGGCTCCCATGAAGCAATACAACGTTGGTAGCCCATTTGAGTGGATCGCCTTAGATATTGCTGGACCATTCCCCATGACCGAGAATAGCAATAAATACATGCTGGTGGTTATGGATTATTTCACGAAGTGGGTGGAAGTCTACGTCATTCCAAATCAAGAGGCCGCAACTGTTGCAGACGTATTGATAAAAGAGTTTATCTGTCGATTTGGAGTGCCCTTTGAGATCCACAGGCAGAAATTTTGAAAGCCAACATTTCCGTGGAATCGGTGACAGACTGGGCATGAAGAAAACCAGAACCACAGCATTGCACCCACAATCCGATGGAATGGTAGAACGAATGAATAAGACCATTGGCAAATATCTGTCTAAAGTAGTTTCAAACCATCAGCGAGATTGGGATCAGTATCTTTCGCTCTTTGCAATGGCTTATAGATCCGCTGTCAATGAATCAACACGTCAAACACCAGCAAAGGTCCTGTTTGGGCGTGAGATGAGACTACCGTGCGACCTCGAGTTTGGATGCCGACCAGGAGAAGATGTAGCTGGTGAAGATTATGTGATCCAGTTACGAAGAAGAATGGACGATATGCATGAATTGGTCCGCTCGCATCTTTAAATCGCCAGTGACAGAATGAAGAAGCGATACGATTCCCAAGCCACAGAAGGATGTTTCAAGGAAGGCGACAAAGTCTGGCTCCATAATCCAAAAGGGCTATTCTCCAAAGGTCTTGGGAAGGCCCGTACCTCATCAAGAAAAAAATCAATGATATTATTTACCGTATAAGTAAGATCCCGAACGGTAAACCAAAGGTAGTGCACCAAAACCGGCTGGCGCCATTTGAGGGTGACCATAAAGAGGAAGAAGTAAACCAGCTCCAAGAAACACCTGACCTTATCTTTGAAGAATTTATGGGTGCATATAGAGGTACCGGAAAAGCAAGACATGGTGTTAGAACCGAGTAACAACAAGACCTGCTTACGGTGCATAGCACTTCCGCCAACATCTACGACGCTCGAGGTCTGGCATCTGTATTCCCGAAGAAGTTTGATCGATTGCCAGAACTTCAAGATCAGTTACCAGCCCATGGAAGAGCATTAAAACTTCAAGATGGATCGCGATATCTTTTCTATTTGGTAACAAAGAACACCTTCCGAGATCAATCCACCTATCATGATGTACGGGAAGCATTACTCAGTCTGAGGGAGCATGTACAGAAATTAGCTATGCCAAAGATAAAGAGCACAACCATCTGAATTGTAGGATCATTAGAAACATGGTGGAAGTAATCTTCCAAGATATCCAGGTTGAAATACTGGTCTGCAGCCAGCGTTCAGGTTATAGCGAAGACTGTCTGTCCCTTGTTACTTCCATGCAACTGGAATTTGTAAAAGAAGATCCAGTTGCAGATACAATTGAGTTTTAGTTCCAGGAGGAACTATTTTTTAAGGAGGGGGCAATATGACGCGGAGCCATTCCCTGTGTAAGTGCGACCTTGGAAGTCTGCCACCCGACTCATGCTCGCAACGACGGAATCTTCTAGGAATGCCGCTGACGCTCGAGAAACGGCCAGAACGGGCGATGTGTGCCGTTGAATCAGAGATGGAATTTTCGGGAGCGTCTAGAGGTTTCTCGTAGCAGAGTTGGACTTGGTATAAATAGCCGACTTATCGGCGATCAGTTTAGTATAGAGTATTGGACTGAAAAATTAAATTGCAATAAATAAATTAGAATTGTGAGTTAGTGTCTTAAGTATTATATAAATTAATTAGTACGTCTTGAATAAATTGTAAATAGTGTTTTAAATAAATAAACTATAAATAAATTAGACTATCGTCACAAATGTCTCATAGTTTCTCAACTACATCTACTCTATAGGACAATGAAAAAGATTTTGTAAATTGTATTCTTTTATAATTTTACTTTCTAGTTGATATTTTGTTTCGTGCCGCGAGTCCAACTGGCAATAACGGATTGGAAATGAAGATTATAAAAATAAGAGTAATTATTAAATACCTTTATTGCTATGGAATAAAAAAACATTTGTTTCAAAGGCGTATAAATCTCGTATATTACAAATTTACAGTCTTTGGTCTACAAAGATGTAGGCCTATTATAATAGAAATGTCCTGATATTTTTCACAATAATCCATCAAAACTACAAACTAAGTAACGTACCATAAGTAAACAGGTATGATGAAGTATAAAAAACAGCTGTCAATAATGGGTTAAAAAAATAACAATAAATCAATTTACTTAAAGTCTAAAGCGCGAGTAAGATGAGTGCTTAAGGCTGTGTTTTGAGAATTTAGTGAATATAATCGTTAAACAGATATTGGATATTTCTGTATTCATTTTTATCCTAGCCACTTTTTATTGGAAATTTTAGCACTATTAAACTAGAGAACGAACTAGTTCATCCAATAAACCAAAAGAACTAGTTCCAAAATCTAAAATCAACTAGTTCAGTGTGATTTTCAATTACTGTTTATAAACTGTCATAGAATACTGTAGAACGAGCTGTTGATGTGGATCTCCGGATGTGTTAAAGAAAATATACATAATAAAGTTATTGATGATTATACCCTTGACAATTAATTTATTAATATCGGATCTCTTCTAGTAATTTTAACATGGAGTATTAAAAACTGAAATTTTAATTCTTAATATTACTGGTAATAAAACCACTGATGCTTCCACAATGGCAGTTTAGTAGTATCTATACATTAGTGAAACATACTTTTCTAACTAGTATGTAACTGACACAAATAACCAATTATCTTCACTAAATAGGCTGAGTTTTTAAGAACATAAATGCGTCACTTATTAACAAAGTATTGATTAATTATATGAGATAAATAATATTATTAAGTATATTATAATTATCATCTAAATTAATAACTTAAGTTCCTAATGCATTCAAAAAATTTTCATCAACATTTAAAATAAAATACACAACCCATATGCAGGACTTAACATAATTCAGTGCAAGGTGAAAGTACTGATTAATATGAACAAAATATTCAAATATAAAGACTCTATTTAAAAAAGTAAACGGTTTATGAAAGATATGCAAAATTTGGTTAGGAATTTTTGGTCTGTTTCGGCCTTCAAATAATTACACTCAATTATGTTGCACCCTGATGAGTATAATTGCTCCGGCAAACATGGAAACACTGCCCAATGACGCTACTTAGATATTTAAAAAAAAACCGTTAATTTCTATAGTTTAGTCCGTTATAAAATAATAGTATATTTAGTACATTTTTATTGTCTCACCGCCGGAGCAATTGCCTTTGGATTAAAATATATTTTGAAACTATTAAGTGTGTTGTCACATAGTAAACTTTTTAGACTCTATCCTACATTTTCGAAAGGTTCAATGTTTTAAGCATAATCTGAAAAGTATCACATAATAAATGTAATATTAAAAGATTGTACATAAAACTATTGACAAATTTTGAAACTTAGTTTTTTTATTTTTCACATTAAAAATTCTTACAATCTACTAGCGCACCTTAAGTCTCTCTAAAAACATATTTGTTGTGTGATTAAAATAATGTACTAGCTCCTGAATTTATAAAAAATAATGATAAATCGTCTCTAATGTAAAATATTATTGATGAAAAATTTACAGTAATTTTTCTGTAACGCAGGCCACAATATATTTTAAACAGAGGTCCAGAATATTAATAAACTGTTAGAGAGAGTTTTACAAAAATAATATTTTTTGAATTCTATCAGCAATTTTAGGAAAACTAGAATTTAAATAAGGAAAAATAAGAAAAAATGCGTTTGCTATAGAATTTGATGAATAATCTCCCTATTAGCGTTGTATAAAAAAATATTAGTTATTTGGATCCAGCTCTGTTACCCGATTGCCCAAAATAATTAACACAGTTCATATTTAAATTCTAGTTTTCGTAAAATTGTTGTAAGAAACACGCGATAGTAAGTTTTCATAAACAGAGGATCTTTATATACCATTCAGGAGCTAATTTTGTCTGAGTAGGTATAATTCCATAATTAATAATAGAAAAACCTATTTATGTACCATGTTCTGAAATGCTTGCATTTCATAGATCAATATCAATAGTATTGTAATACATACAAAATATATTGAAGTTTGTCTTCAAATAGTACCAGCTAATGCTATTATTACTATGAAAAACACCAAAAGGCAAACTCAGTAAAATAAAACGTTTCATCATAATCATTAGCAATTTGATTAAAATAAAAAATGGGCATTCATTTTATATCTAACATAATAGTTTTCTTAAAACAATTTCCCACTTTTTTATAGGTTAAAAAAATGCATTTAAAACAGATTTATAAAAAAATTAAAATAACGTGCAAACTTAAGCATTGCACGTTTCTAAGGGAGACTGTAGACCACTTTTTATTTATATTTTTATAAGAGATGTTTTAAGCAAAATCTGTAGTAAAAATATACAAGTGAACATCTCATTGTAAGAGACTAAAAAGTAAAAATATTTCTTTGTATTTTGTTCTACAGAAAAATTAAATAATTACAGAAACACATATTTCCAAAATAAGATATATACATAAAAATAAAAAAATTGTATAGAAGATGCATCCTCTTTCATCTTAAAATAGAGATAAAATAAAAATAAAACTGTAAAAGCTAAAATAAAATGGATGTTTCTAAGTATAAAGAAAGCCATAAAATAATAAATATATTTGATGAAAAAGGATGTATCCAAAAAATTGTATATTCTATATTTTGTTCTGTGAACAAGGTGAACCGCCTTTTCTTCAGATCACATTTTCACAACTTTTTCTGGATCTCTATTTTATTTTTCAATATCGTTTTAACTACAAAGGAGAGATTCCGAATATCATTCGATTATTTATAACTACCTGTAAAGTTAACGTGAGTCACCACTGTACGAAACTCTGTCTTACCTATATGTATTTCATATGAAATAATAAAAATGATTGTAAGGGAATGAGTTTTGATTTTATGTGAAAGCGGTCACCATGTATGAAATCTGAAATATGGAACAAATAATGTAGGTATATAGGCCATATTTCTTAAATATTCTGCTAAAAAAAACCAACAATTGGAGTAGTTTTTGTATCAATTAAGCATTTTCTAAAAATAGAAAACCATCTGTCTGATTTGATATCAAAAAATACTATTTCCTAGATGATATTCTACAATAACCAACAATATAAATATAACACTCAACAATTTCACAAGAAATTATTGTAAATAATGTAAATTATTACCATGTTTAAGAAATATTAAAGTTCCATATTTCAAAATTCCATTGTATAACAAACAAATCAAATCTGCATAATTATCTGTTGGTAAAAATTATTTAAGTATATATAATATGTATATAAAAATAAAGATAAGTAGTTTAAATGAATGAAAAGTAACTGGCACTTATTCAGAAAAACTACCGAACCTAGGAGAAATAAGCCTAAAGATGGCAATTTGAAAATAGTCATTGTAAGGCCACATTTGTACTAATCTATCACTAAAGCTGCTGAAGCGTAACTTACGGAAGAATCGTTCATATTGCGACACTGGCTAGACTGGGCATATTTCAAAAATTTTAGACTAGCGTTTTGACTACTGTCATTCCTGAGTAATTCTTGTATTGCCTGCAACATCAAAATCATCTATTATATTAATTTAATAAAAATGAAAGGTAATTATTCACTGAAAAATACCTGAAGCACCCTCATTATAACTCTGAAAATAAAATATACGCCTCTTACCTGTAAAAGTATTCCTATAGGATGTCTTCCACAAATTGTATTTCCGTATTTTTTTAAATAATTTGTAAATTCGGTTGGGTTCAGATTTTCAATAATACTCATTCCCTAACATTTTATAAAAAGAAAAAAAAAATTAACATTTGAGTAATATGAAATCTGTTTATAACATACCACTCTGTCCAATCCTTCAATTGACTGATAGATATTACCATAGGATCGGTCATAATAGGTATACCTAAATCTGTGTCCCCAATGGCAGAAATCAGAAGAAATAACAAAGAGATTTTTGGGATCTGCTAAATAACTGGACAATATCCTCCCATAACATGCTTCTTTTTCTGGACTGAGAGACCCCACAAGGATAGGAACAATAGTGAATTGGTTTTTGTAACTAAAACAGGGGGAATATGGTTTAATACTACCTACAAAAAAAAATGTCAAAACATCAGTTTCAAATCTATTACAGTTTGAAAATCTAATAGAACTACTGTTATATACATAGAAACAAAGAAGTAGTGAATAAATAGATGATAAGATTCCTAATATAGACAGCTTAGGTGGTGAAATTATGATTAAAATTAAATGTACACAATTTGGATTACAGGGGAAACTCGTAATGTTGTGACAAATTTTTATAAAATGAAAATGTTAACTTTTTTTTTAGGCTTTTTTCTTAGTGAAAAGCAAAATAGTTATTTTTAAAGCTAGTTCAGCTAGTATATCGTGATACAAAGAGGGTATTAGAGAAGACATATGGTACTGTTATAGCCAACATAAGAAAATTAGGAACACATAACCAAATAAAGAACAGAGCGCAGGATACAGGTAGCTGAAAATAAGTAGTGTGAAGAATCAAGGGAGTTTAGTGCAGTAGTTCTGAAAGTATTGCAAATTACTGCTTAGAAATAACAGTTAAATTGTATGTATAAAATGTGTTATAATTCACTAACCTTTCCATTACTTTAGCTATATAGGGTAGCTGCATTTCAATACTGTGTTCATTTTCATCAGTATCTAAATCCATCCACTCGAACTGACCAGTCATTTCTAATTCACCATTGACTGCAAAAAGGATATATTAAAAAAATACTTGAAGTATTAAGTGTTCTAATTTAATACATGTCCATTTGTTCACTTATTGCTAAAGAACAAATAGCAATAATAATTAATGATTTCAATAATTTTTCTGGCAATAAAAATAATATGTATACAATTCACAAGTATATATGTCATTTAAAATTTATGACCTTGGCATTGCCAATTAGCCAGAATAGTAAATATATATCTAGTAGAAATATTGCTAAAATTTATAATAAACAATATTAAAATTACAACTTCCATTCAGGCTCAAGTTGACCAATAAATAGCTGCAGTATTAAGTGCTCTAATTTAGCATTACATGGTTTCCTAACATTTTGCTCATTTTTTATTATTTTAAAATGCTAAATAAACGTTTAGCAGAACTTTTAACATGCAGAAATAATAACTAAAGATTTCAATAATTTTTCTGATAAGAATGATACAATTTACAAATATATATCAAGTAGAACTATTGCTAAAATTTATAATAAATAATACTGAAATTACAACTTCCATCCACACTTAAGTTGACCTTGATTTAAATAAGTATGTACATTTAATTCAATTAAAAAAAAATAAATTCTGCCATGAATTTGTTTATTTAACAATCAGGTACAACATTTTGAATTGGGGTCAAGATACTGATATGCTGACATGGGATATAATACATTTTAAACTGATTAAAAATTCCCTTTTTCCACAGAAATTTACCATAGTTTACCAAGTGAAATGCATACATACAATTTTATAAAAATTAAGAATTCCTTAAAACAGTTTTTAACATAGTATGCATTTCAAGTCATTACAACTATGAATAAAAATAGAAAATATTTATTACTTAGGATCTAGTACATAAAAAAAAATTGAAGGAAACTGGGTCTAGTTAAAAGGGTATCATCTTGGTTAAAATCCTGAGAATGTTTCAGACTAATAACAGAGCAGTTGACAAAAATTATAGTCATTTTCTCAATTTTATTAACCTGGTCTGCCATGCAAAATTATAAAACGATATTTATAATACATTTAAATATAATCGTTTTGTTGATGGTGGGTGGGGTTTTCCTCACCTGTAAGTCAAATGGCACCATCAATCAACTTTATGTCGACTCCCAAGTGGGAGCAAATAATAATAGCTGTTCCTTTGCCAGACAAGCTGTCAGCTTTTGGGGTTAACATTCACTCCTAAGGGGTGATTATAGGAAGAGTAGTATTATTATAACAGAGGTTACAGTAAAGATGGCAAATATAACACATATTCATTTTCTAAATTTGAGTACAAATGAAACTTACTTTGCGAGTCTATGTGAAGATCATACAGTGGTGTTTTATATTTTTGCGCGCTAGACAAGGCACAACCAGACAGGCGAACATGGTGAGAAGGTCCCAAAATAAAAATTCGGCCCACAACAACTGGACTTATTTGTCTGTAAGCATGGCCCCCACAGGCACCACAATACTGATATCCAGCATGCCTAAAAATCATCTGCTAATAGATATCCTAGTGGGACTAAATAAAGTAAAATAATTATGTATTGAAAGATATTTTGGGTTTTACAAAAAAATTTATATATATATATAATTCAGATACGTACGGAGCAATTATTGCCCTGGCTGGTCCATGACTCAAATCAGCTTGATTTAACCAATAATCCAACTGCCTGGTTAATTCAGCTCCTGAAAATCAAAGAAGTCGGTGAAGAGATCCTGATTTCTATTGTTCAAGATAATGGAACAGCTGATCAATGTTTGCTCTTTCTTACCTGAATCAGTGTACCAACTTCCTGCATGTAGAGCTCTCCTTACAGGCATTTTCTCAGTCTTTGTGTTACAGGATTTAATTATTAAATAAAAATAGTAAAAATACTTTACAAGATTAATTCCTAAAAAGTCAAAAGTCAACTCATAAAATCAAAAAAGTGATTGAACATTAATCGCGCAAGCTCGTCCAATCATAGATGAATTTCTAAATAGAATACACAATATATCCCCTATAGTAATGTAACTGGGATTCAAGAAATGGCTTTGAGTTACGCTGCGGCCAGACACAGGTCTCATGGCGCTAGTATCGTTATTGATTTTTGACTTCGGCACGTTCATTGGTTGACGACGAATTCAAAACAATCTGATCGGAGCGTTACTCACTCCCACTCCTTCTCTTTGTTTAGATACTTATAAAAGAAAGAGATACCAGTTAATAATTTCTATTTCGAATCATCTTTCATTCTTTAGCGTTGAGTTTTTATAAGTGAAGCGTGAAGTGTCAGTGTTGACAAGTGATAATTTTTTGATTTTTTCTTCTACGAAATTTAATATTAATTTTGTTTCAGCGATATTTATTGTGATTTGTGTTGTTGTATTAAGTGCTTTCTTATTTAATATGGGAAACAAAACGTACAACAAACTCAGAAAAAGAGGAATCGAGGAGGGATTGCTATCTATGGCTGTCATCCAAGGGTCTGCGCCCTAGATAATACTTTTCCAGTGGGAAAAGCCTTTAAAATTCAAGTATAACAATTTTATGTTTCCGTTTTCCCTTCTTTTAATGTAGGTGCCAATTTTGAGGTAAGTTTGTAATAATTTTTCAGTTAATACCTACCCTCTTAATATTATAATTTAACTATGATCTTATGCTTTCCTATGGACACGATTCAAGGAGGGAGTCCTATGGCTGTCATCCAAGCCCTAGATAATAGTTTTCCAGTGGCAACAGCCTTTAAAATTCAAGTATAATAATTTACTTTTTTCGAAGTAGATGTCCATTTAAACTAAATTTTTTTATTTCACTTATTGATTTTAGCATTTATATACAGTATCGGCTAATGAACACTTTCCAATACGCTTGGCTAGAATCGAAAATAAAACTAAAGAGTTAGCGCATTAGTTCGATCAGGAAACGAATAATATGAATGTTGCCTTGTGTGCTGTGTAATATGAACAGGCACACGGTGTGATGCATCCCCACGTAGCCGGCTGGCTACGTTCATAGTATTCTATTCCTTCTCTCACTAATGCTAACTCTTTGTAGTTTTTACTTGGACATTAGCAAAACTTATTGTACAACATTCGATAGCTGCCACTGTATTATCACAAACATCTCTTAATAACTAAATGATTTCATTTAATAGTTTCTTTTTTTTTTCAGTAAAATGGATATGGCTAGAGTTATCTTCGTCTTTAAAATATATTAAATAAGTTTTATAATTTTTCAAATAAAATACTTTATACAATTTTTTGTTTTTTTACCAGAGCCAATTTTTTTTCAGATCTAACCTCTATAGGTAAAAAATAAGTGATTTAGGTAAAATTGAAAAGTATATTACATGTTCTTTTAAATGTGTTGTTAATCCAAATGCTGCTCTTATTGTAATAGCTAATAATAAAAGTATTAGTATTATTTTTAGCTATCAAAATAAAAATAGCGCCTGGATTTACAGCTCGTTTAATCGAACATGCAATATACTTCTCAATAATTATTGCCGAATGAATATATTTAAAAATTCCCGCCATTCCGCGGCTGAAAATTTACAATTTTGGCGGGAAATTTAAATTTCGCCTTTAAATTATATTTGAATTTACCGCCATATCGAGTTAGTTGAGCGGCCAGACACAGACGCATTCTTGCGCTGCAAACTTAGTGCCAACTCTTTAACAAGTGAGATGCACTACTATAGGGGATATATTGTGATAGAATATAAGAACAAGTAAACAATATAAATTGGAAGGTGGCGCCCCTTAATACACAACCACTGGATAAGCGAGCTGCGTTCGGCGTGTCATTTTACTTTATATGCTCCGTTACGAACTTCACAAATTTTACAACACGAGTAATTTGATATTCAACTGTTTGAAGGGTTTGTTGCGGTTCAGACAAAACCATCAATTCCAGTTCTCAAATACGGTTGACGAATTCATTTCTTAAGGATACGTCACGATAATAATCAACCTATTGAGTTGAACGAGTGTAATTCACTGATTCTGAATTAGTTCGTGAAAGAACCAAAACAAGCCTGAAGAAACGAACAAACGTCTTGTGAATTTTTCGTAAAAGTGCATGGCGCCGTTGTAGCATTTAATTGGTGACTTATTATGAATATCTAATTGATTTTTTTTATATTATATCCATATTTCAATTCAAGTGGGCTATCTTGTCGATTAAACGAAGTTTAAAATGACATTTTTACATTAACAATGTCATTTTAATCTCCGATTAACACAACGGTGGAATCGGCCCTTAGAACCGATTCCACCGTTGTCTTAAACGAAGTTTAAAATGACATTTTTGCATTTAACAATGTCATTTTAATCTCCGTTTAACACAACGGTGGAATCGGCCCTTAGCGATTTAAATGTAATCTACCTCTTTGAATGTTTATGAAGAATGTCACAATCTAAGTTTAATATAACGTTAGAAGATATCTTCGTACATTTGCTAAAATCTCTAATATCTGCATTTACTCGAGAGGGAGTGAATTATAAAGAGACTGTTCATTAAAAATTAAACTTTTTTCGGTTCATAGAGGCATTGTGAACTTTATCAAATTAAAGTAATGCCGTGTCTCAATTTTATAAAATTTCAAATTTCGATTATAAAAGATAAAAAGAAGATTTTGACGTTGACAGTGATTTGTATTTGTTGGCAATGCTAGGCAAATTTTTCGTTTAGCACAGTTTGTACACCTGCTTACAGTCTCTGAAGTACATAGGGAACAGTGTGTGTATATTTCTACATTTTTAGACAAATAATTTACTAAAACAAAGAATATAATTAAAGAAGTAGTGTATGTTGTGTTGATGTGATCGATTACCGATATTATTCATCGTTTACAGTACAGAAAAGTGAATATTGAGCCACACATGAAGCACAAAAGACCGTTAGTTACATAAAATCAGGAAACTGGTGCGGGACCCATTGAGAAGCTGAATATTTATAGGGAAATAATAAACACATTATCAATCGTCGTTTTTTTCCAGTACAAAGACGATTTGCTTATCTTTATAAGGTAATTTTTTTTTCCTAATCTCTAATTTTGCCAGGTTTATTTTTGTTGTCATCAGTTTTTGTCTGATTCTGATATATTTGTTTTGTCAATGTAGTTTTTCAATATGGCGTCGTATTTTACTATAAATTGTGCAATTTTACGAATTATCCCAGTAATTTAAGAATGTCCACTCAACGATCCACTAAAAATTCTACGCAATGCGATTAAAACCATTTTTTTTAAAGAAATGTGGCCAGATATTGATACCAAATGTCAAATTCACAAAGGTGACTAAGCATTACCAGTAACATTTTTAGAAGTTGCAGATAAAAGATATATGTGTTTAAAATTCTAACTATTTGGTCCCAATAAATTATTAGTATCATGTAATTTTTCCTTGTTAAAAGTGAATATATTAAACTATGGATTTTTTTATTATGCTATATTATATACATTTTCTATATAACGAAAAAAGTATCTTATATCTTGTGAAAAAACACCGACTTGAAGGCAAAATTAAATAGTGTATTAATTTACTCTTTTCACAAGATACTTTTTGCATGCTAACTAGCAACTATTCTTTGTAGAATTTTTCTGTGGTATCTCTCTAACTTCTTTTGATTATTTTGTCCATTGCTTACATTTTGCACTCATTTAATACAGAGGCTTGTATCACACTCTAACTAACCACTAAAATTATATTACAGCTTTAAAAACAATTAACATATGAATATGAAGTAGGAAAAATTATCTATAACAGGAAGAACCATGAAAATTGACAGAACTCGCGTACGTAAAAGTACATCAGAAGTCCCCCTAGAATGCCAACAACTCATTGAGAGATTGCAGCTATGTTCCAGAACAGAGTTACTAGAAGAATTATCCAGAATTCACTCCTGGACATTTGGAAAATGTGAGCTATTACATTGGGCACAAATTCTTGATGTGTTCGACAGAATCTTAGGACAGGCAGCTGAAAGGAATGATGAAAATAAATGGATTCTTAAGTGTGATACTTATGATGAAGAGGTAAGTGGAATTATTATTGTATTTCTGATACTAGGGCACATTTATGTTAAAATACATAAAAGAGTATATGTAAACCTGCCTTAAATATATGTATTATCTTCTAAAATGTTCTTGAAAAGGGAACAATAAAAGTAAGGCAATTTTATTTTGTTTAGCATATAGTTAAATTGTTACTATATCTATTATATGCATACATGAGGCTTGTGCCTACATTCCTAGGTAATCTTAGGTTATAAATACATGGGGACATTGGAAAATGTTGCAAAGTTCCTGACAACCAATTACATGTGTATTGGCACTGTGATGATGCAACACCCACTCTCAATTCTTCCACATTCTGCATCATGCATATTGGTGCTTTGTTTCTTGGTAATATCTTACATCCATGATTTATCAGTAGTGGTGATCCTGAATAGGAAGTTAGGGTTATCTGTATGAGTTCCTTGCATTTCATTGCACACTTGAACCCAATGGTTTAAGAACAATTGCTCCCATGTTTAATTCATCAGCTGGAATAAATTGATATGTTCCATGTATTATGATTACAAATATTGTGGATAAGCAGCACTTTGTTTGAAATGGCCTCATGCCCACATTTTTGGAGTTGTGCAATATGAAGCCCTTTCAAAATGTTTGTCATTTGCTACATTTGGAAGTCTTGAACATACAATTTAATTTGGGTTAAAATTTATTCAGAAAAACTTTGATAATGCTGATAATTTGCTTCTTAACATTAATTCTAAATAGTTCCTCAAAATAGATGATTTCAACGGAAGACATCTTGAAGTTGCAAGGTCATTGAAAGATCTTTGCGCCATCTATAAGTTTACATAACAACTAATAAAATAAAAAAGAAAACTGTAAATTATTATTTTGGCAATGTGTCTAAAGTTACAGCGGCGTTAAGTATAAATTTCTTATTTTTTTCTTGCCTTCTTTAGTTGTATGGGCTCAGTTTTCACTCTCACTATCGCCAAGATCTAGAATCTAGATCTACATGGCTTGCTAAGCGCGCGTTAGGTCGTTTTATGTTTTTACAAATTTTGACATGACACATGACTAAGAAAAATAAGACTCTGGGACCTGGCACTAAGTAGATAGAGATGGTGAAAAACTGAGCACATACAACTAATGAAGAAGATAAAGAAAAAAATGAATACCGACGCCGTAACCTTAAACAGATTGCCAAAAAAATAATTTACAGTTTTCTTTTTTATTTTATTGGTTGTTATGTAAACTTATAGATGGCGCAAAGATCTTCCAATGACCTTGCAACTTCAAGATGTCTTCCCTTGAAATCATCTATTGTGTATAGCCACTCCATTAACAGCTGAAAGAGGCACCTAATGTCCTAAATTCATATTATTATTGGTTTGCCCTAGTTATTGTTTATAAATCAAGTTTTTTTGTTTGAGAAAACTTTTTTATACATCAAAATTTCAAATAAAGCAGGGATTTTAGTATTTGCTTATCCCTAAATAAAGTAAATGTTTATTTTTGACTTTCATTTATTAAATCCTTAAGTGATCTCCAAACGTTATCAAAATTCAAATAGCCAATTGTTTAAGCTAAAAATGAATTAAGGGGAATTTTAAGAAGACAAAATAAAACTAGTTAATCTCCTTTCATAATTGATTTAATTTGATGTTTTATTTTTAAAAATAAAAATTTTTGTGTTTTAATTTAACCCACATCCATCCCCTACCCCATTTAAACCATTTTAATGGGATATTGACCTGGCTCCAGTCAAGGTAAGTTTATTTTTAAGGATATTTATTTGTGTTTTTTTTTTTTTCATGTAACAAAATAAGCGGTATCGATATGCTGAAAATCAAAAATGTAGGTTGACATTGAAATGTTGCCAAGAATTAAATTAACAATTCTTTATGGCCAATGATGTTTAATAATAAAATATGCAAAGTTTATTATGATTTTCTAAAATTAGGTTGAAGAAGATCAACAATTCATTACACCAAGAAATTGTTTTATCTTTTTTTTTATCAGGTATTTTAATAGTTAATTCGCAATAGGCACCTGATGATAGTTTATTAATATTTCAAAGTGCGACAATAGAATTGATAATTGCCTTATCAAAACTTTAATGCACTTAACTCAACTTATTTACATATAGGGTGGTTAATTATTAGGTAATTTTTTATTTGCCATTATGTAGATTACCTAAATGCTTATTTAGAAGGAAATCATACAATTTTTAATTTTGGCAATGAATAAACTGTTTGCCATTATGCATATTAAATATTATTTAAATTATTTAAAAGAAATCAATCATACCAGCTTGATATTCTTAATTGCAGTAAAAAAGATTAAATTATTTTGTTTAACCTGATTAATGTGTTTAATTTATTGTATAAATGTCACTTATTTATATTAAAAGAACTAAAAGTGGTTAAGGGCTGTGTGCACGTAGCTTAAATCAGCAAAAAAAAAAATGTATTTCATACAAAATTATTTATTTAAATTTATTATAAATAAATATTTTTGCATAAAGTACAAATCTTTTTTTGCTGAACTTATTTATATTGCGATTCTTGTAGTTGAGGTTTCAGCTGTAAAACAGTGCAACGTAGAAATGCACCTTTTAATTTACCCACATAAAACCTTACAGATAGAAACCGGAAATATTTTATGTACTGTTTATTTTAATCTTGGTAATCTGACGTTCTTTACATGTTTTTCTATTATCTCTTTCTTGAATGGTTTTCAGAAAACTAATGAATATTTAGTTGTACTTTTCTCTGACTCAACGTTGACGTTTCTATCTTTAAGGGTTTACACCTAGGTAACTCTTTAAAAATGCTTTAAAACTTCATTTTGTAACGGAAAGACATATTATCATCAAGGGCTTGTACATGGAGACTACACAAGGAGCACGCACTCCATGTATAACAAGCGTACTGTGTTAAACAGAGTATTTTAAGAGGGCGCTAGTGTTCCATAAGTACCAAAATGGCATAAGAGAATGAGGCGGTAGTTTGAAATAAAATAAATAATTCTAATTAATTAATTATAACTCTAATTATATTTATTTAATTTAAAAACATTTGACACGTGTTTACGTTAATTAAATAATCGGTTACTTTATTTTCACGCTAACTTCACATTTGTTTATTCCTCTATATTCACACCGGTACAAAAGAAAAATTAGCGACGCTAGTGGTGAAAAAAGAAAGCTTTATTTATACGATAAAGCGCGGACATACTCTTGCAAATGCCACACTTGAGTGCGTGCTCCTTGTGTAGTCTCCATGGGCTTGTAGTTGGAAGAAGATATGCCAATCTGCGCCGAAAATTGTTAGTTTAAACTCTTTATTTTTATTATAACTTTCACAAATATATTTGTCTTGTTTTGACGTATTGAATATTAGTTCTATGATTGAATAGCATTAGACGTCAGAATTAGCAAATAGTGGTACAAAAATTGTGAGCTGCAGGGTATGGCTGCAGGCTGCAAGAGGAAATCACTACATTTTTGAAGTAATACTTTTCCATTTTCCTTTCCCATTGTACCGACTTCGAGTCATTAGGTTTCCCGCCACTTTGATTGTGCTTTTATCGCGGGCGAAAAGTATTTCTTTAGATTTAAAATGAATGTTTACGAAATTGCTGAGAAAGTACAAATTGTGAAATGGCATTTTCAAGGCAACACAATTCGACAAATAAGCGGTTTGTTTGAGGCGACATTTCAAAATAGGCCCATACCATCACTCTCAACAGTACATCGTATTGTTCAAAATTTTGAAATTCATGGCTGCGTTTTTCCCAATGAACATAAAAAGGCTCGAGTTAATAATAATCAGAATGAACAAGAAGATAGGGATATTATGATTTGTGCAACTGTGGAAGAAAATCCGATGATATCTCAGAGAGAGGTTGCGGAAGTTGTAGGTTCCAGTGAAACCACAGTAAATAGAACTAGCTGCGAAACCCGGCGTTGCACGGGTTAAAATATACACCGCATGTTTAATGGTGTAAAAAATACATGAAGACACATTTTTAATGTAGATATTATAGATTCCTATCTTAGATATTAAAACTTATGACCTTTCTCGATCATTATAGAATTTTTATGAACTTTCTGGAACGTTCCAGAATGATAATAACCGATTTTACACATTTTTTAACTTTCTAGATCATTCCAGAAATGTTTAGAATTTTCTGGATCCTTTCAGAATGATAATAACCGATATTATTAATTTCGGAACTTTCTAGATCATTCGAGAAATTTTTAGAATTTTCTGGATCGTTTCAGAATAATAATAACCGATATTATTAATTTCGGAACTTTCTAGATCATTCCAGAAATTTTTAGAATTTTCTGGATCGTTTCAGAATGATAATAACCAATATTATTAATTTCGGAACTTTCTAGATCATTCCAGAAATTTTTAGAATTTTCTGGAACGTTCCAGAAGAACTTTCTAGATCATTCGAGAAATTTATAGAACTTTCTGGATCGTTTCAGAATAATAATAACCGATATTATTATTTTCGGAACTTTCTAGATCATTCCAGAAATTTTTAGAATTTTCTGGATCGTTTCAGAATGATAATAACCAATATTATTAATTTCGGAACTTTCTAGATCATTCCAGAAATTTTTAGAATTTTTTGGAACGTTCCAGAATGATAATAACCGATTTTACACATTTTTTAACTTTCTAGATCATTCCAGAAATTTTTAGAATTTTCTGGATCGTTTTAGAATGATAATAAACAATATTATTAATTTCGGAACTTTCTAGATCATTCCAGAAATTTTTAGAATTTTCTGGATAGTTTCAGAATGATAACGGATAATATTAATTTCGGAACTTTCTAGATCATTCTAGAAATTTTCAGAACTTTCCCGAAGTTCTAATGAGTTAGAAAAGGACAGATATATATCTTATCACATTTTTGCCTCCCACAACCACCCATTTCCACCCACCGCGCCCAAACTCCCTTACTTCCTTCTAGGACCCAAGGGGTGTTTACCACCCCAATGGTGATGTTGTTGGAGTTGGTGGTGATAAAGAAAACCGGTCACACACATATTCTACGCTAGCATTTTATATATATATATATATTTTAAAAAAACATGGATATCGATCTTATAAAGTAAGAAAATGCCAAGAAATTTATGAAATTGACAATATCAGACGAATGGAATTTAGCGAGGCAGTAATGGATAAAGTTAACAATGACAACAATTTTCTTTACAATGTTGTGTTCACCGATGAGTCGACTTTTCCATTACTTGCCAGGCATAATCCATCCCAAGTCCGACATTGGTCTCGAGAAAATTTACATAAATTTGTAACAGTTCGCAGTTCCCGCAAAAGTTGAATGTTTGGATGGGAATACTAGGTGAAAATGTAATCGGTCCTTTTTATATTGAGGGTAATTTAAATAGTGTTAAATATTTGGATTTACTCAGACACCATATTGTCCCTGAGATAACGGCGATTGGCAGGAGCTCGATTTAACAATATTTGGTTTCAACAAAACGGATGTTCTGTGCATAATCGTGTGACGGTGCAGCACTTTTTAATGAAACATTTCCCAACAGATTATTATCAGGGAAAGGTACAATTCTGTGGCCAGCTAGATCGCCGGATCTTGCACTTTGTGATTTTTTTTGTGGGGTTATTTAAAGTCTCAGATATACAAATTCAGGGAAGAAATAGCTAGCGACTTAGATGATCTGAAAGTGAAAATTTCAGAAGCCGTTCAACTTATTAGTCCCAATATGTTGGCTGAAGTAAGGCGATCATTTTACTATTGCTTGGGGTACTCTATTTGAGCACCTATTACATTAAAACTAAATTCGTGTTCTTTTATTATTGATTGTAATTTATTATTGTCTATTGGATTCCATTTTATAATTTTTATTTTTTTGTAATTTTTTAATCTTAGTTTTGTATTTTTTTTTTAATCCTAGTTATGTAATTTTTTAAAGTTCGTTTTGTTTTTTTTTAACGTTCAATGTTTGTTCTCTATTTTTTAATGTTTTTATTGAATTTTTTTCCATTTGAAAACAAAATCAAAGTTGTTTTGTTTTTTATAAATTTTAAACTGTTGCTGTTCTTACTATTGTGGAGGGTCTCAAAAAAAGAGAAAACAAAAAGAAATGAAAAAAGAAAATGAAAATAAAATAAAAAAAAAAAAGAAAAAAAAAACGTCTGCGCCGAGATTCGATCCTACCTCTATCCGCGTAGGTAGACTGTAAGTACAACACCTTACCCACTGCGCTACGTCAACAACTATTAAAGTTTTTCAAAATTTTGTCTATTACAAATTCTGGTTGATGGTTGCATTATTAAATTTCTCTATTTTCATGTCATTTATTTATAAAATATTCATTAATACTCAACTCTGTCGTGAAATGTATAAAGTTATGCCAAATATGTCACATGCGAAAGCTTTGGAATGACAGTAGCGGACAAGGGTAAATTGGTCATCAGTTTGACCGTGTTCGTAGTATCGTGGATGGATCTGTATGTTTGTGACTGAGAAATAATTATCTGTGTATAATTAAATTTTAAACCATTTTGAATTCATAAACGACAAGTAATTAAGACGAAATTTTTCTTCTAAATGCTTAATATTTTCAGGATTTTCAACTTTTAATCCATATTCTTCGATTCACGAGTCTCTTAATAGAGCACTCTTTTTCCCGACATTTGTACAATTCTATGGAGCACTTATTAGTCCTACTCGAGTCGAATGATATGTCCGTTGTCTTGGAAGTATTAAATCTGTTATATATGTTTTCGAAACGAAGCAACTTTATCACCCGCTTGAAGCCGGATGAAAAGGAATGTTTATTATCAAGACTTCAGTATCTGTCAGAGGTAAGTTAAATAATCCAGTTGAAGAAACTATTTCGGTATCTGTATGATTTGTGTTTTTTAAGAATTGGGGTGGCAAAGAGAACGGATTTGGTCTAGCGGATTGCTGTGATGCTGAAAAAGAAATTCCTCCGTCAGCTACAACTTTGCATGTAGAATTTCATAAAGAAGATGACCAAAATTCTCCCAAAAAAGAAGCAAAAGGTACCGATCCAAAAACTGGGAAGCCTAATTTGCACATTATTCATATTGAACACATTGACAAGCTACATAAGACTCCAGCTGAAATTATGAGACAGCTTGTTTCAATGTACTACATACCACCTGAAAAAGAAGTAAGTTAATATATTTTGATTAATAGACCTATCCTGTTATTGATGGTCTCTATTACTGATGCGCAAATCCTCTTAAACTCATAAAAAAAATTGTTATGTTTCCTACCCTAAGTTCCAATTACACATCCGTAATGTAATTTTGTTTTTGTTTGATGGTATTGGTAGGGAAGCCAGTGACACTTTTAGGTGTGTTATTTGCGAAAGGCAAAATTAAAAATATTTTGTTCATTCTTATCTTGTAGAATATGGAAATAGATTGCTGCAGGGATCGCAGCAATGGCCTCGATGACGACATCTTAAAAAAGCCTGTGTAGAAAATGCTGTGATAGAAGCGCATTTTTCAGATATTATTTATATCAAAAGTTAATAAAAAAGTTTGCTGTCACATTTTTTAAATTCGATTCATAGTACCTTCTTTCTTGCTGACAGGGCGTTTCACAGCTAACAAGCTACCAAGATGGCAGAAAACTTTTTTCTATTAACATTTTATACATCGGCTTTTTGAAGACATCGTCATCGAGCGTTCCACCGCTGGTGACTGCAGCAAAGTATTTCCATCTTCTACAGGGCAAGAATTAATGATACATTTATAATATAGTCTGCAAATGTACCAAAAAAGTGATACTGGCTCCCCAACTATATAAACTCGATGACAGTTGTTTAAAGTAACGATGACAGGAGGTAATCGTCGTAGCGACCCCAACAATTTTAAGACGAGATTAAGAGAGATAGCAAATAAATTGTTTGGAAAATTACTAAATTCAAAAAACACTCGCTTTTTTCGCGCAAAATTGTCGAATAACGGGAAAGGCGAATTCCAAGAACACTTAAATATTTCTTATTTTTTTAGATGTGGCTTTTTACTCATGTGAGATTGGCTACACATTTTGCAGACTACCGAAATAGGCTAAAAAGTGTACAGGCTAGATTACAGGCTCTGTCTGTTATGGTCTATTCAAACAGCATCGAAGATTCTCCCTCGAATTTACTATACAACGGTTTATTAGAAGAGCTAGTTGAAGTTGTCGAATTACAAGATTCACAATTAACAGATATACGATGCGCCGCGTTAAGGACACTCACAGCCATTATACATTTGGATAGAAATCCACATATTCCAAAGTAAATATCGTTCTCTAATCTCATTTTTCCATATCCAATGCTATTGTCTATTCGAATTTTGTATCTAATCTCTAAACAATTCTTTGTTAATTTACAGCAGAAGAACTGGGTCAAGACTAAATAGCATTATAGATGTGACAGGAGCAAGTCAGTATCACGGATTTTTACCAGTCTTAGTTAGGAACTGCATATCTTCTCTAACGAACCAAATCGATTTTGGACAAAGTGCTTTTAAGAAAATGAAACTTCAAGACGAAGTTTCAACGATTTTAATAGATGACTCTAGCTGTGATTCAGCAAAAACTTCTGTGTCTGTTAACACCCAAGACAGCATCAATAAATTTTTTGAACCTTGTTTGATGGACTTCGACGTAGAAGTACCCGCCCAACGGCAGTTGTCGTTTATAGATACCAAATTTCCCGTCAGTTTAACAACTGCTCTATTCTCGTTTTTATATCATTTGGCTAGCTATGAAGCTGGAGGTGAATCGTTGGTTTCTTGTGGAATGATGGAATCTCTCTTACAAGTTATTAATTGGCAAGGATTTGAACTTGATCACATTACAGTAAGTTTTTTTAGATCGGCGGGAATAGCAAAACCAGTAAAATTGAAGTGTTAGACGTATACTCGAACAAAATATTGGAGAAGGTGACTCATCCCTGTTCACGTACAATCATCGTACTATACCAGAGCATAATGAATGGAATCACGCGCTTAAAACTGCAGAAGTTATCGGAATCACGTGCCAAATGCATGATTATTGCCGAAATGTATTACGCCGTATAAAAACTATTTGCAAATTAAATGAATCCGTTACTATTGTAACAATATAATTCTACTATTAAATTTATAAAGACACCAATATTTTACTATTTAATAAACTTTTAAAGTACCTACCTAATATACTACACAATAAATATAACTCCTCGAATATGCACTACCACTACCAAATTGAAGGCACAAACATGAACACCTACTCGTATATCAGAAAAGAGCACTTATACAAAAAAGTGTTTATAAAATATAAAATAATTATCGTAAATAATTAAAGCGATACAAATCTGTAACCCGTCTGTCGTTTATTTACTTGAAACACATTCTCATTTGTCATCGCCTCCAAATATTAGGGTATCATCTTACAAAATTTTATTTTATATTTAACGCATCATCTTTGTTTAAATAAAGATGTTGCCAAACAAATTTAATAAAGTTTACTAACAAATACCTAATAAATAATAAATAATAAATAATTATTTGGTATTTGATCCGCCTATGTTACTTTCCGTCGGAATTTTCATTCATAGACAACAGTGTTGATCACGCATATGACTCACCTTCTCCAATATTTTGTTCTAGTATAGTTAGTAAAATCTTCATTTAGTTTAAAAATACTGGAAATTGAAAGACGTGGGTTTATTATATTTGTCTTAATTTTATTTATATCGGTGTAAATGTATTTGTGTACTTTTTTTTTTTAGTTTGTGACTCGTGCTGTCCGTGTAATTGATTTAATAACTAACATTGATATGGCAGCATTTCAAAACCATGGAGGTTTACATAGTTTTATCAACAGATTGGATGTAAGTTGAAATTTTTAAATAACTTCTTTTTAGTTTAGAATAATTTTTGTTGCAGACTGAAGTGAATTTTTGTAAAAAAGACCAGTTATACCAAATTAAGACTAACAGCACCGAACAAGCGTTTGAAGAAAACACTCCTGGTACATCTGCAAGTACAGCAGAAAAAGATGAAGAAAATACAACTATAGATCTTGATTATAAAGCTGAAAATGCAGGAAAGACTTGTCTACCTCAACGTGCAGCTTTGTTAAAATCCATGCTGAACTTTCTTAAAAAGGCTTTCCAAGATTCGACTTTCGCTGAAAGCATAAGACATTTAATGGAAGGAACTCTGCCAAATTCTCTTAAAAATATTATCGCCAATGCTGAATATTACGGTCCGTCCCTGTTTCTACTAGCTACAGATGTAGTTACAGTATATGTTTATCAAGAACCAGCTTTGCTGTCTGCGTTACAAGACAATGGATTAACAGATGTGGTGCTCCATTCTCTTCTAGTCAAGGAAGTGCCTGCTACCCGGGAAGTATTGGGTTCTCTTCCAAACGTTTTCAGCGCTTTATGTCTAAATAACAGAGGATTAGAATCTTTTGCTAAATTTAAACCATTTGAGAAGCTTTTCAATATATTACTATCACCCAATTACTTGCCAGCTATGCGAAGAAGAAGAAGTTCAGAACCAACTGCAGATACTGCTTGCAATTTGGGTAACGCAATGGATGAACTCATGAGACACCAACCAAGTTTGCGACAAGATGCTACTTTAGCCATTATAAAATTGTTGGAAGAATTGGTTCATCTAGGAACTGATCCGAAATACGTTTGTTGGAGGCCCCACAGTAAATCAGAAATGTCCCGATCAACGACATCTAGATCTAATAGGAACACTGAAGGTTCTTCTGATGAAGAAGAAGATGACGAAGAGGAAACGTCTACCTCATCTCAAAACGCCCAATCAGAGAGCCAAGCTCAAGCTAATAGTGAACGTACACCTATAGCTCTCATAGATTATATTCTGAATGCTATGAAGTTTATAGATGCTATATTAAGTAATAACTCTACTGATGATCATTGCAAAGAATTTGTCGAGAAAGGTGGTTTAGTACCGCTATTGAAAATTTTGGGACTTCCGAATTTACCTGTGGATTGTCCAGTAACGAACCCAGCTCAAGCAGTTGCTTCTGTTTGCAAAAGCATCCTGAACCTAGCACAGGAACCATTCTTGTTCTCACAAGGACTTTCTCAATTAGCTGGAGTCATAGAGTCACTAAAACCTCTCTATGCTAAACAAGAAGTACCAGGAGGGTCCAAATTGCTTCTTGAATTAGCCAATGCTACTGATATAGAAACGGCTTTCAGTACAGCTTCGGCAACTCCACTCTTGCACGCCATGGGTGCCGCTCACGGATACGTTATCATGTTTGTCCACATTTGCCGCACTGGTCAAACTGATATAAGGAATCTTTCTTTACAACATTGGGGCTCTGATGAGGGACTAAAAGTGCTAAAAGGACTAGCAGATTTGTACACATCCTTAGTTTGGGAAAGCACTCTTCTATTGGCCTACTGCAGCGATGATTTGCTGCCGTCCGATTGTGATTTTACCAGAGAAGATATCGAAAAACTTAATGCGTTCTTTGACAGGGTGAGTTTAACATTTTGTGTTGCAACCTGTAATATGTACTTAAATTCTGATTGTTATTTTAGTGTGAGGGAAATTCCACATCAGATACAGGAGGAACTGCAACAATCGACGTATTAGGTCCCAACAACCATATTTCCATGATGGATATCGATGGTGAATCCAGTTCTAATACAAACAAACCAGATCGTAATCTGAAATATATCAAACCCCTATTAGGCGCTTCATCTAGGCTTGGCAGAGCTCTAGCCGAACTTTTTGGATTGCTTGTCAAACTCTGCGTTGGCTCTCCTATACGTCAAAGACGAGGCCAAAACATCGTGGCTGCACCTCCAATGCCGTCACCTTATGCTAGAAATGTGGCAACAGCGTTAAATGTACTGCTTGCTGAAGGATTGGACTGCGACAAACTTCCTCCGTGTCCTACAGCTAAATGCAGATTAACCTTTTTGATATGCAGCGTCGGTTTTACCAGTCCTATGCTTTTTGACGAAAGGCGGTACCCTTACCATCTTATGTTAAAAAAGTTTGTTAGTCTTGGTGGCCAAGCTATATTTTTCAAAACTTTTAAATGGGCCCTGACTGCTGGAAATGTACATTCTATTAACGAAATCGAATATTCCAACCTCCCAGAAGGTAAGTCAATTATCTAATTTGTTCCAGAACAAGTTTTATACACTTCAAATATGCACAGTTTGAAAACATTGCTCATTATTCAAATTAAGCCCATAACAATGCGTATTGGTAAGGTGCTTTTAATTGATAAGTGTCTTAGTCACGTGATGGCATTGTAGTGGTTAAGTAATATGATACCCATTCGCCATTTCAATCTTAATGAGGAATGTGTAGACTGCAATGCAACAGAACATGTATGGAACTTGTTTGGGACATCTTCCAGATGGAACCTAATAGCAGTTTTTATCTCTTTTTTTTACACATTTTAGGCACTGTTGGATTTTTGGACGCCTGGTTAACTCTCTTGGAGAAGATGGTCAATCCAAAAGCCATTTTAGAATCTCCTCACATCATTTCTAGTCGTCCCTCTCATACATACAGCTTCGATCCTTTGAAATATTTAATACAGATTCACAGATTAGCTTTTGAAAGTGTCATGCTGCTGTGGGGCAAGACACCTTTAGTAGCGTACGGTGCTAGAACAACTGAAACACTCTTGACAATTCTCAGACATATATTCAGAGGAGAAAAGATAATCAAAGAAAAAATGAAAGCTGATGAAAATAAAACAGATACTTCTTCTACTAGTTCAACAAATGGCGGGGCTGGCTCATCTAGTGGCGGGTCTCAATTCAGAGATTTGGACGATAATTTGAGACAGTTGGTAGATATGGGCTTCTCTAGAGAACATGCAATTGAAGCGTTATTACATTCACATACTTTGGAACAAGCAACTGATTATTTACTGTCCAATCCTCCACAACTATCCAGACCAGGAGGTTCTTCAATGGAGGTAGACGCCGAAGACGATCAAGTACTACAAGCTATTGCTATTTCATTGGGATGTAACACAACACCTGGAGCAGATGCCAAAAAAGAAAGTCCCGAAGAGCAAGATCAGTCTTTCGAAACTATGATTAATGAATTTACTCATCATGCTTTAGACGTGTGTTTAAAACTTCTAGAAGTTATACCTGAAACAGTTCATAAAGTATGCGAACTTCTAGTAACCATAATGAAAAGAAATGGTCGTACATATAGGGATACTCTCTTAGACACATTAATATCCAAAATTGTGGAATGTTCCGCGTCTATTTCTTACTGCGCGTTCCAAGGAGAACCGAATGTGATGACCTACTTTTCTTTGGCTGAATCTGAGCAGTCCAAACGATTGACTAACTATATTCATCTATACATACTATTTTTTGAAGTATCGTCATATTTTGAAATGAAAATTCCATGCGCTTATGCACTTAATCGAGCAGGCATGGTTGTACCATTAATTGATCTGGTATGCAACACTATCAGCGTGATAGTAGATTTACAACCAAGCTATGAACCAAAATGGTTGGCGCCATGCTTTTTATTGTTAGATGCTGTATCTAAAGTATCGACTTGCACTGAAAGAAAAGTTGATATGCATATAGCAACCAACCGCGTTTGGAGATGGTACGATTTAGCCGCCGGTAGGTGGTCTCATTACTCCAATTCCAACAATAGATTGATAAATGAAGCTTACTGGAACGGGGAACAGAGCAAAAGAGTGACTTGCGGCCGAAAGAGATACACCATGACTTTCGCCAATATGTTGCAAATGAATGATGAAACTGGAAATAACCGACCCCTTTCTATGACTCTAATGACACTAACGCATCCCAGTTGCACGGATATTAACGGTCCAGATATTGAAGAACCGCTTGTGTCAGTACTTACAGAAAAAGAGGAACTTAGATGTTTACCTGTCCTTGGATTGACTTTTCTACAAAAAAGGAATATTGTAAAAGCCTGTGTGCAGCTTATGCATCTTCCAATTGAAAAGAATTTATTACATTCTGTACTGCAAATATGTGTACGATTCACCAGAGATTTTCAAATTGCTAAAGTATTTGTTGAACAAGGGGGAGTTAAATGTCTTTTGAGGATGAGACAAATAAACGATTTTGGAGGCTTCGGGATTCTAGCCACTATTTTAATTCGCCACGCTTTAGAAGAGCCTAACACATTGAAATATGCAATGGAAAAAGTTATTAGAGGAAGAACCCTAGCTACAATTCCTCCTCCTTACAAAGACCTAGTTTACTTGACCAGACAAATAGGCGGGGCCGTTACCCGTGAACCAGAAGCGTTCTTTGAAGTCGCTAACTCAATAGTCAAAGTTGATACTTCAGCTGCTAAAGGGGAGGCACCTGTAACGTGCTTACCACTAAAAGTAGATCCACCAGCTCGTACCAAAGCACCTCCCTTGGAGGAACCTATTTCTATCGAAGTAATTTCTGATTTATTAGATGCTCTTTTGAAACCACTAGAAGACGATAGAACTCCCGCTGATGGTGCCGAAATAGATGCAGAACCTGAACCAAATGTGAACGTCGAAGAACTCCCTTCAACAAGCACTCAAACTTTTGAAAAGAATGATACTACCGCTGAAGATAATGTTAATAATAAAAAGAATGAAATGACTACCAAAAAACCGATGTTGCCAAAATCTGTTATTCTAAAGATCTTAGCAGATGCAGTTGTATCTTTTGGACCTATAGCTAAGTTGATTACTGAATATAAATATAAGCCCGATGATTCTGGTATTATAGTTGAAGATACATCAGCTCTGGCTTTTATTTTTGATAAAATTTTAACTGGAACGGACAATATTTCCGATTTGGATTGTGCTACGATGTGCAGGATGTTAATTGCAGCATTGGCTTCGTCAAATCATTCCCCAGAAGCTCAAATCACTTTGGTTTCTGAGGTGAAAGTAGCGTTAACTAGAGCACTTAACTTACCAGAGTCTTTAAAGAAACATAGTCAAGTTCAGAATATATGTGGAATCATTTCAAACATGATAGACAATTGTCCCTTGCCCCATGCTAACAGATGGACCAGCTGCAGCATTAATAACATAGTGAAACTGATGATGAGACGTGGAGTTTTTAACGATTTAGCTAAAATCACTCACTATCTAGATTTATCTTCACCAAACACATCTTTTACTGCTAATGCAGCTTTGAAGCCTTTAGAATCATTGTCTAGGACAATTAATCAACCCGCGACTACAAACTACAACAGCAAATCTAGGAAAAATCAGCAAACCACCGATGATGCTTCTACAGCTACACAAAGTGGTACTTCTACCGAGGCAAACGCGCATGGCGAAGAAATCGAAGATTCAGAAAATGCAGATAATGATATTGCCCGTGTTGTGACTTCCAGTCCTATAGAAAATAATACTGTAGGAAGTGGTGAACTTGATAATGCCCTAGAAGAGATGATGGAACATATTTTGGATCACAGAAATAACGATAATAACCAAGGATACAACGATGTAACTAATGCTAGAGGTGCTACTATGGATATCGATGAGGAATGCCCCATTGGTTATGAACATGAAAGAGATGCAACGGTAACTTTATTATTTTCAATTCGCTTCAGAAAATTTTATTAAATTTTTCAATTTCAGGAAGAATTGATGAGCACCGATTCTGGCGAATCAGATTCAAATCCTTCTGATCAAGTGGATGATGAAGGTAACGATGATAACGAAGGAGACGACGATACAGAAGAAAATGAAGATAACAATTATGATGAAGATGATACCAATGAACGAGACAGGCGAAGAGGTATTGTTTTTAACATATATGTAATGATTGGTATTGACATTGAAATTAATTTTAGGTTCTGTGTTAGAAGGAAGTTCTGGTATGTTTAGAATTGCAACTACAAATAGGGATGAAGATATTTTAATGATTCAATACGATGCCGATATCGACAATGCTTTACCAAGGATGATTCGTTGGAATGAAAATGGGTATGCAGTGCCAATTTTAGATGAAAACAATCCCAATGATCATACAGGTAATGTTTAATTAATGTAATGATTAATTGTTTATTAATGTGAATGTTCTTCAGCTATTACTCACCCGTTGCTCATGTCACGCAATAATTTGGATACCAATCAACATGCAGTAAGTAGGAACCAAAGAGCTAATCGTCCCAGAAGATATCAATATCTATTTAGCCCGAGAAATCCCAATCCTCCCGTTATTTTACAAAGGCTCTTGGGACCACATGATCCTCACATGGCTAATATGATGTCTGCTAACAATCTCTTAAGCGGTCCAACGGAAATCCGCGAATCTGCACGAGTTGTAGTTATGGACAACTTTGGCATAATTCCTTCAAATGAAGAACCAATCGATTTCGTTGATCAATCAGGATATCTTTTTGGACCCAGCTTAGCAGCAACCCTTAGCCACGTCCCGCCGGTTTTACATTGGTGGAATATTGAATCGAAATTGCTGGATTTAGAATCTGTGTATGATTGCACCACTTTTGTGTGCAATAAGTTGGTACCAAACCTAATCAAATTCAGAAATGAAGAACTTCGAAACAAGAAGGCCAAGGAAGATGAAGAAGACACTACAAAGAAACGTAAACAGCAAAAAAGTGATCCAGAAGTTCAAGATGACTACAGTCAAGAAACAGTTCTTTTCAATTATGACGATCTGAGTAACACTATTATCGAAAATGAGACTGTTACTGAGCAAAATAAAGAAACTGCTGAGGAAGACATTGACGGTGTTCCTTTGGCCACAACGGAAACAGCTGAGACCACTGAAGAACCTAATAGCAGAGAAGAAGGGGAAGAAGATATAGATGGTATTCCTCTAGAAAACTCTGACACTTCCAATGACAGATCAGAGAGTAACACACAGAATGAAGACATTATCCTCTCTCCACTTCAACTTAGTTTTGTTAGAGGATCAAATGAGAATTCTCAGAGCAGCCTATCAGAAACCACTCAGAATGCAGCGGTACAAACAACAGGTACCTCAGAAAATTTAACAAGAAATACAGATGACTCAAATAGTCGTGCTGAGTCTGAAATAAGAACAGAAAGTGATTCTTCAAATCCTTTTGAACTATCACTTCCAGCTTACATCGGTTCTAGATGCAATATATTATTCGCCCGGCCTTCTAGTTCTCCTGATAGAGCCGATGCTGATGACGACTCTGAATTGAGCGAAACGGCACGGAATGAACTTTTGAGTAGTATTACAACAGCAAATCCTCTACGATCTATTTTTGACATTGATGTCATATCTGCGCAAACGATTGAACAAACTGTAAATATTAGACGGGAACTTGATGCGCTCGAAACCAGAAATAGACGTGAACCACGCGGTTCATCCTCCAATTCTTCTGACGCCACTGATGCAACATCTGGAGATGGAGCACCCCCTCAATCTGTAATTACAACTCCTGTGCCTACAACACCTGCGCCTGCTTCAGAGCCTAGTGCAGAATCAGCTCAAAGCAGTTCTAATAACGAACCGCCGCCAGAATCATCATCTGTCACTTTGCCTCCAGCAGAAGCAGCCTCGATTGAAGCTGGTCCAAGTAACGCCAATAATGACGAAGAAATCCCTGAAGGTGTTGATCCTTCGTTCTTGGAAGCCTTACCACCTGAGATGCGAAGAGAGGTTTTAGAACAACATCGAATTCTGTGTCTTCAACAACGGATTGCTGCCAGTGCTGCAAATGCAAGTGCTAATGTGGCTACGAGTAATGCTGCTACAGCTAATAATGGAGAGCAGCAACCTCGACAACCACAACAACCACAGCAGCAACAACAGCAACAACAGCAGCAACAGCAGCCAGAACAACCAGCTACCTCCAATGAAGTTAGTCCCGAATTCTTAGCAGCACTTCCTCCAGCACTGCAGGAAGAAGTTTTGACACAACAAAGGTTAGAGCAACAACGCCAGGCCGCTTCGAGGGCCAATCCAAATGAACCTGTCGACGCAGGAGCGTTTTTCGAAACTCTACAACCTTCACTCAGAACGATGGTAAGCACGATATTAATCTAATGTTTCAGTAATTAAATACGTATATTTGTAGATATTGTCCGATATGGAAGACTCACAGATGTCAGCACTACCTCCAGATTTAGCAGCGGAAGCTCAGAATTTGCGCAGAGATTGGTATGCAAGGAACAGACAGATGGCACAAGAAAGATTTATGCAAAGCAATTTGACAGCCATTTATCGAAATTCTCGAGGCCGACGACAGCCGTACAGATCTAATAATTTCCCAAGAGCTAGTTGGGCTCAATTCGGCAGAGAATTCATGAGCAACGTCCTATCCAGTTCGATACCAGTTAAAGTGATAAAGGGACGTCAGTTGTTAGACCACGAAGGCCTAGCATGTTTGCTAGTTTTGTTATTTACCGACGACGCACACCTAAACAAACTCAGATTGCATCGAGTAATAAGAAATTTATGTTACCATGCTCCTACCAGAGAATGGATTATCAACGCGTTACTTTCTATTATAGAAAAAAGCGTTAGTACGCACCCAGACGAAAGTTTGAATAAGCCTTCTAGAAAAGGTCCAAGGCCTGGACCTTTGACCAGTAAGCTCTTAACGGACGCTAAATATTTACAAAACGGTGGCCACTGGCTAACGATACGGATGGAAGCAGCGCTAGGCTGTGCTGCTAATGTATTTATTGTTAATAAAACTATGGGTAAAAAATGCGATAAGACAAATGGGTCTGCTGCTATAAGCATCCATCCTCAAGCTGCTCCAACAGTATGCCGAAATACTCTCGATTTATTTACATCGTTAGCAAAAGCTTTCCCTGCTTGCCTATTACCTATTAAATCTATCAGAGATGAGACTGATAAGGCAACAATAACTCCAGTGAAAGTCAGAAGCGATGCATCCTCAGATTTCTGGGACGTCCTTCTCCGCTTGGATTCTGCAACCAAAAAAGGCAAGAGCATACAGAAAAATACCGTACCTACTGCTAGCTCTGACACAGAGGGTCCTGTAAAATTCGAACAGACCGTGTTTGGAAAACTGCTTAACATGTTGGCTTCTCCAATAGTACACAGAAATACACAGTTAACAGATAATTTATTAAAATTGTTATCAGTTACCACATCTGGAATGCCCGAATTAGTAAAACCTACAAAACCTACCAAAAGCAACTTACATTGGCCTAACTTTGATGATCCACCTCAGGATGCCTTAAATCTGGCAATCAATGTCATCACTTACAAAAATTGTTCTGAAGAAGGCCTAGAATTCATAACGAATTTACTTCTTAATCTAGCCAATGCATCCCTTCAAATGAACTTCTTGGTAAGTTAATTTTAAATGTATTTTTGATCATCCTATATTAATATATCATTTTGTTGTTTAGATATTCAATCTTCTGATCGACGGTGCCATCGAAATTGGCAACATTGTGGAAAATCAAATCAAAAGTATGTTGAAAGACTTGAGAGATCTGATCAACACTACGCAGAAGAGAAAACTAGAAGAAGGCCCGTCCACGTCGAAGGGGATCATCTACAATAGATTTACCAATGAACAGGTTGTCGTAACCGCTTCAGCCAAAGTAAAAGCTTCTTGCGAACTCCAGTTACCCTCTATGGTTCCCTTAACGTCAAAGTCATCGAGCCAAGTATTTTTCCTTCGCGTTTTAAGAGTCATCGTGCAAATTAGAAATTCGATCAAGCAGACTGTTAAGCGAGGTATAAAAACCCTTTTCTTTTTAGTAATTATAGCAACAATTATGATTTAGTTTTTAGTATTCTCACATTTCATTACTTTCTATTATTTCCGGATATTGTTCTAGTAAATCAATTAGTAATTAATATTTATTTTGCTAGAACCTATAATATTTTCCGTTTAAGGCTGTGAATTGGACTAAAAATTGCATAGTTCTCGTCTGTTGACATGTATTTATAATAAAAAAAATTACAAGCAAACAGATATAATAATTAATGCTATAAGAATGGATTGAACATAAACATTCCATAATAACTAACCATAATTTCACATTGCTATTAAAAATTTTAAAATTGTAATTGCAAGGATTAATAAGAAAATTAGTTTCAATCAATTCACACAACATGATGGCTGAAATCATTGAAAAATAAGGAAAACAATGTGGAACCAATATGTGTTCCTAGAGGTACACCGGATTTTGACCGCCAAATATAGTAGAATTGAAATATTCTTTTCAAGTAAAATTTGGTGTTTTTTTTTTTGTTTTGTCACATTTAACACTTACCGTATTTTTCGGACTATAAAACGACCTTTTACTATAGAAAAATGGACAAATTTTGGGTGCATCTTATGGTCCGAAGATGGCATTAATAGATGTCGCGTTTTTGAAAGGAGTGACACAATGGTTGAGACGAAAGAAATACGAACGGTGACATTAACGAGACGAGTGATAGTATCGAGAGTAAAGATTAACTGAATATTCCTAGTACGAGTTATGTTGACAATACATAAAAATTATGATCCGAAAGTAACATTAAAATATATTTTTCATTCATCAAAATTTAAAACTGATCACAGCAATTTTATATTGTTCTTCTAAAACATTTATATCGGCATGTGTAGATTTGGCAATTTTGATATAGAAACAAGTGCACTTGAAAAGTTATATCTCGTTAATGGTACATTTCTTGTCATTTAAGTAGAACGTATCTAACTCCCTTAAAAAAACCTGACATTTGTTATATTTATAGCAGGATATACAAGCAGTGAACTTCCTTCATTAAGCGACCAAATGGGCAGCTTAAGCAGTTTCTGGGAAACCCTAAGTCAATGTTTATCCGAATTAGAACACGCGCCCGATCATCATGCCGTCCTTGTTCTACAGGTAATAATAGAAATTACATATTTGGAGCATCCAGTGCAAATTAATGATATTTTGTTAACAGCCCGCTGTAGAAGCATTCTTCCTGGTGCATTCTCCGCAACAAGCTGCGACTACTACACCGTTCGAAGTAGAAGCCAATGCGCCGCCAGCGGCGGAAGGGGAACCGACGACCCAGGAGAGTACCGAGGCTCAACCTAATGCCCCGCCTACGGAAACTCCAAATCCTGCTCCAGCTCCTCTTCCAGTTAGGGCTGCTGCAGCTGCTGCGACTGCCGCGACCGCTGCGACTGCTGCTATCGCCGCGACTGCTACGACCGCCGCGACTGCTGCGACCGGCGTTATTGCTGCCACTGCTACACCCGCCGCTACTGCTGCCACTGCTACACCCGCCGCTACTGCTGCGACTGCTGCAACCGCCGCGACTGCTGCGATCGCTGAGCAATCTCCGCGACCGGCTAGCGAAGCAACCACCTCCGATTCTGATAAGTTTTCAGAGTCTTCTGGGAAAGCCAGCGTTACACCTGAGCAGACGCAGTTCTTGGCTTTCGCTGAGAAACATCGTACAGTTCTCAATCAAATTCTGAGGCAAAGCACTGCCCATTTGGCGGACGGTCCTTTCGCCGTGCTTGTAGACCATACTAGAATTTTGGACTTTGATATTAAACGGAGATATTTCAGAACTGAACTCGAAAGATTGGATCATGGAACTAGACGCGAGGAGACTGCTGTCCATGTTAGAAGGAGCAACATATTTGAAGATTCGTTCAGGGAGTTGTTTAGAAGGCCTCCAGAAGAGTGGAAAAACCGATTCTATATTGTTTTCGAAGGTAAGTTGTGTGGGAGCATGGTCTTTGTATGACTCATTGAAGTTACGCTTCAAATAAAGAAGATCCAGTCGTTTTTGTAGATCTTTAATTAAAATTTATAATAGACTATGGTATGTTGATTTTGACAAAACACAAATCAATTGTTACAGTTATCATTCTTCTTAGTTGACATTAAATTTAGAGTGCTCACATTTGTTATTTTTTGATAATTTAAAAATATGTTCACAAATAAAGAATAATTGAGATTGCTTTATTCTTCAAAATAGTTTAGAATCTGTTAGGGTCTGGTGTCCCATTTAAACTGACTTCAACTAAAAATCAATAAATGCAAAACTGTTAACATTTACTTTACATATTACTATTATAATAATAAACTATATAATTGCTTTTTTTGCTGTAATTGGGTGTATACCTGTAGGAAATAAAGATAATTATCATAAACAAAAATGACTGGGTCCTGGATATGTAAAATAAATTTGGTTTTAGATGAGGAAGGACAAGATGCGGGTGGTCTTTTGAGAGAATGGTACGTTATAATATCGAGGGATATATTCAATCCTATGTACGCGTTATTTACTGTATCGCCTGGTGACAGGGTAACGTATATGATCAACTCGGCCAGTCATTATAACTCAAATCATCTTTGCTATTACAAATTTGTTGGGCGAGTAATTGGTAAGTAGTTATTTTACATTTATAATGCCTTCGTTACTACTGTATATATTTTCAGCTAAAGCTATTTATGATAACAAGCTTCTAGAATGCTATTTCACACGTTCATTTTACAAACATATACTGGGGATTTCCGTGAAATATACTGATATGGAGAGCGAGGATTACAGCTTCTACAGAGGACTAGTTTATCTCATGGAGAACAACATAAATAATTTAGGATTGGATTTGACGTTTAGTACTGAAATTAGCGAATTTGGTGTCACCGAAACAAGAGATTTAATACCAAATGGTAGACACTTCCCAGTAACTGAGGAAAATAAAATGGAGTATGTCAGACTTGTGTGCCAGATGAAAATGACAGGCGCTATTAAACAACAGTGGGTTTATTCATTTCTTTTACATATACAGATTAATTATATCGTATTTATTTTTTTTAGATTAAATTCCTTTTTGGAGGGTTTCTACGATATTATACCTATGCGTTTGATTTCTATATTTAATGAACAAGAATTAGAATTACTAATATCAGGATTACCCAACGTAGATATAGACGATTTGAAAGCCAATACCGAATATCATAAATACCAGACGAATTCGTTACAGGTAAGCCATCGCCATTTTAATTGAAATATCAGTGCTACTACATTGCAATTAGCCTTTCTAGAGTTTATATTTTTTTGTCTGAATGTTAAATTACAAATTCGTATTTGTTTCTTTACAGATTCAGTGGTTCTGGCGAGCTTTAAGATCTTTTGATCAGGCAGACCGCGCTAAATTCTTGCAGTTTGTAACGGGAACTTCTAAAGTACCTTTACAGGGTTTCGGAGCACTCGAAGGCATGAACGGTGTTCAAAAATTCCAAATTCATAGAGACGATCGGTCCACGGACAGGTTACCATCAGCTCATACCTGGTATGTTTCCATTTAAACCTAATCTATTGAATTTTTATACGAGACAAAAAATGTCGTTACTTAAAGTTTTAATTTTCAAAATTTCAATTAAAAGTTTATGAAATCAGAGTATTTTGAAAAATACAAAGAATGCTCTAAACATTTAATTGGCCGTAGAAGCACTTGAGATATTTTAAAAGTATTTCTTTATAATCTTTATAACTTACTAGAATATACTTTATGTTACCAGAGCATTTCTTTTTACACTTTGGTTACTTCTATGACGTCTCGTTACCAAAACATGTAACTCTTGAACTTATTAAGTGTTTTTAAAAGATAATTTTGATAGTTTTATACTTTTCCTGAAGATGCTAACATTATTAGTGGGACTTGTGAAGGGATTTTAATGAATTAATTTATACCAAATTTTTTTTTTTTAGTTTTAACCAATTGGACCTACCTGTGTATGAGACATACGACAAGCTGCGTGCTTATTTGCTGAAGGCGATCCATGAGTGTTCCGAGGGTTTTGGCTTTGCTTAAATAATCCTTTGATGTTTAAGACTGATGTGTTAATTGCTGTTTATATCACATAGTAGACTAGATTTTGATGTAAATAAACGTATTCTAAATGTTAAGTGTACAGACTACTATATTGGTGTAAAAAAATTATTTTTAATTTTTCTATATGCTACAATTCGTTTAATTATGGGTTACATGCTTGAGTTTATTACGTTTTTTTTTTGTAAATTATTGATAGGAAGGCACATGTATTTTTGTAAAGGGCCTCAAGGCAATTCGAGTGTGATAAAATGAATTTGATAGTCAGATTCAAAATAGATTTACTATTTAATGTTTTATTTAAGTCTTGTTATGTGTTACTACGACCATCCTCTTTTGTACATTTGAGTCTGTTACTCCTTACATATTTTTTATTTTTAATCTTATTTCTGGCAAATATAATAGTCAAAATGTAACTGAGATTTGTGATTATAAAATAAATGTTTTTCTCAAGCACCCCTGGAATTATTTCATTATTTGTTTCCTTATAATCATCGTAATTTTTGGCTCTGCTACACTTAATTTTTGTTCAAATGACCGGCATTTCTGACCTACTTTAAAATTACTGTAGGAACTGCTCAACTAGTGGCAGAAGAGGACAAAGTGAAAGGAAAGAACAGATATTAAAATGTCTGTTTTTTGACCCTGTGGTTCCTAATTCTGTAATAAGCCAGGCTAAACATGTCTTGTTTTACCATACTCACAAACGGCCAGGTAAGGTTTTAAGTTGATGCTGAGAAACTGCCATCTGGTGGCGTACAGAAAAATCAAACTTGGTCCCATAAAAAAATAAGGTTATTCGTCTTCTTTGGAATTTTAGTAATTGCGAAACAAATGAAGGATGTCCAACTGAAAATGAGCCCAGAGTAGACTGATTTTTAAAAACTAATATTTTTATCTCAAAATTATTTCAAAACTGCAAAATGATCATCTTCAGCCGATCTCATTTTGTTTTCATCAGAAAATCTACCACGTAACGTCTTTTTAAAATCTTTGAACAAATAAAAACTGCTGGGAGTCGGATCTGGACTGTATGGTTAATTTCTTCGAAGCCCATGTATTATACAGCACATGTCTTGTAATAGAATTCCATTGGTAAGTATTCTCCTGCGTCGTTTCTCAATAATGCCTTGTCGCAATTGGATGGTGACGTCAGCATACGATTGCCCGTTCATCTTTCTTCCTCTAGGGAGGTAATTATCCAAAAATACAACCAGTACAATATAATTTTAAAAAACTTAATGGCACCTGGACTATTTCTGGAAGGTCCGAAGCGCTTTAAAAGGTTACTTATACTGAAAAAATATCCCGCTGTATATTTTCACAACCATTTGGCATGCCCAATGATGTAAGTCCTACAGCGTAACCTAGATTCCAAATTTGAGCTAAATATAGGCATTTCTTTATAAGCTTACCACAACATACTTATGTAACCAGAGTGGCTCTTGGGGATAACATATCGAAAATTTGTTTTCCTTAGAAATATTTTCCGACCCCAAAATGCACTTATCCATTCGGGTCATTCAAGAAAATATTTTTTTCAGACTAGCGACAATTACGTTTTCATACATTCGATGGGCGTGTGTGGAAAAATCGGTTAAAATCTCGATTTTTCCTTACATTCATAACTACCATTCAAGACGGTCCTGGGTTGTGGATAAGTTGCAAATAATTCGTCATTGAATTCTTGCCACATTTACCTTTTTTACAAGATAAATCATACTATGATATACAAATTTTTAAAATGACAAGGTTTCATAGACATGTTGTTTGTTTCATGTTTACTTAATAACTGTCATATTGTATATGTACATAACAGTCAACATATGCTGCTAATTTTTTCACAGGATATTCGACTGGGTAAAATGAAAAACCTTACTTATTTTAACGTTGTCATTTATTTAAATATTCAACATGTACAAAATAATACCTGGTATCGATCTCAGCTGATCGCTAGTTCAAGAATTAGTAAGAAAATATGTCCGTTTGGATCTCTCAATTACAAAATGGTACAAAGGCGAAGTCTTGTTTTACCCTTATACATTTGATATCAAACTTTGTCCTCCCCTGATGGATTCAGGGGTGATATGGAAGTCCCGCTCGTCGACCAGGATGTTGGAGAAGCGTTATTCTATACAAATATATGGTAAACAATTTTAGTTATAAATCAAAACATAAATAATTATTAAGAGTTTTAAATGTTTGTATCAATCAATCACTCACCACTCTTTTCCTGTTGCTTTCATTCTCAACATCAGACTTTCTCCTCTTTTTCTTGGCAGATATTGACTCCTGTCCACTGTCATCATCTTCAGAATTCGAACTGTCAGACTCAGAACTAGAGCTAGATGACGAGTTACTTGAGCTATCTGAAGCAACTCCAGATGGTTTTTCTAGATTAATCCTATCAGCCAAAGCAGCTAAATTAGGCTCCTTCTCTTTCAGCGTCTTGAGCCATTTATGAGAGAGCTTTGGGCGTCCTCTAGCTGTTTTGTGCCAGACTACTGGAAAGTTGGTTCTGCTGCAGAAATTTTGAGTAACTGCAATAGTGGTATCAAGATTTAGGACTACGTGCCACCAACCTCCTGGTACAAAAACCGTCTCGCCTGGTTTTTGGAGAATTTCTATGGGTTTACAGTTCATGGGCCAAGTCGGTTTTTTCGTTTTTGGGTAAATTACATTGAACCATGTGATTGCTTCGTCGCGTTGCTTTCCCCCAATCGGTAGGGTAACTTTTAGAATATCTTTTGGGGTGTGAGTTGGAAATAAGCACCATCTAGATTGGGAAGAAATATTTTTATTAGCAGTGGGGCAAATGAAAAATTACCTAAAAAATGTTTGTCTTGAGAGAATAGTAAATAAGTTTTCAACTCTTCTAGGCAGATATGTTAGAGGGTCATATGATCGTGTCATAATAGTCATGACAGTCAGGTCATATTGATTCGCGACGTGTCATTTATAACAAACCCAAAATTGAGCTAATACCAATTAGACAATCCAAATCACGTGACTTAAAATGGTGAACGATTGGCAAACGCTTTACAAATTAATCTAGCATCTGTTAGATAATTTTTAAAACAGTTATATTTGAAATGATTTGCAATAAAAATAATCAAAAACTGATGATATATTGTTTGTTTTCTTTGCCAATCGTCGGACATATTGGATTTTTTGACAGGATGTTGAACTTCCTAAACCATGCTTGGCTGAGCACGCCCTTGAATGAAAAATCAAAGTTCAGTGTACTCCCAAAGGGCTATTGACCAGAATCTTTCGGCCTCTATTAAAGTTCCTAAATACTATACATTCACTTGAAACGATGTAGGGTAATAATAATACCCTCCCTAATTCACTCCCTTATGAGTGAATTTTAACCCCAAAAGCTGAGCTTGTGTGGGGAAAGGGATGGCTATTATTATTATTTGCCGTGGCGCTCCAGGGCGACTTAAAGATGATTGATGGTTCTATTTGACTTACAGGTGAGGAAATCCCGGAAAACCTCACCCACCATCATCGCGATGGTAATGCATGGCGATTTTTTTAATCTGCATGTCATATCAACAGAAATTGAATTTCTATTAATACGGCACACATCAAATCCTATACCGAACCATGCAATTTAATTAAAAATCCACATGGATGGTCTGGGATTCGAAGCCCGGCAGTCTCTGATCATAAACTTGCCTATAAATGAATATAATCACGTTAGAGTGCTACACTACCGACCTGATACTATTACAAACTTTACAGCTCATCTTGGTAACCTTCAACTTTCAAATTTTACTCAAAAAATCATTTTTGGACATACACCATTTGTCCTCTTAGCTATTGATATAGTTGAAGATTTTGTCAAATAATCTCAATTAGATTAAAAAAAAACATTTTTAATACCAAAGAATTATGGTATAAAAATTTTATTTGAAAAATTTCCTTGACAACGAATCAATTAGAATTCTCTGAGTAATGACCAATCTAAATTCACAGATTATCAAAAAAGTAGGCCCATGAGTCTGTCTTTATATATTTAATGATAATTGGTTTAAAAATCTAGATGTTTTAATTATTTCTTAGCAATTTTTAAATGCCATAAATGTAACATCATGCTGTGATTTGCAGTATTTACCTATTGTAAAATTGGATTTGTCCCATAACTTTCATGATTAAATAAACAAAAACCAAATTAACTGGTTTCTTGTTTATATAATTGCATCTGTATATAACAAACTGGAAGCACAAATTATTTCAGTTTTTAATCCCTTAGAAGTAGAAATCAATTCAGATAATATAAAAGTAAACTTGAATGATACATTTGAATTGTAGTATAAAAAAAATTCCAATACATTTGTGCCCAAAAGTAAAATAAAAACCCAGAGCTGGGTGACAAGAGAGTTAAGAGGTGGCTATTATTTTGAAAGCGGAATTGTATAGTAACCTTTTGTGTCCAATTACAAGAGCATTCCAAGCACTAGTACCAAGTGGATCAATGTGTATCCCAGTTCCAGATCTAGCAGGTCCCATTACGAACCATCTATAAGGAGGTCGTTTACTCTCTCCTGAATACTTCAATAAATCATCTTTGAAGTAGAGTGGTACTTCATAATCTTGTAATAACTTTCTTCTACGTCTATGCTGAAATATCATAGGGATAACAATGTAATTGTACATTGTAAACAAAACTTACCTCTCCATAATTACTATCAAATATATATAAAGGGCTATCATCTTTAGTGTTTTGCATATAATGTATATAATACTTCATTTTCATTTTAACACTATAACCTTCATTGTCTTCGCCACACTTGAATTTTTGGTTTCTATATTTCCTAGCTAATTTTTCTAAAGTCCATTTCTCCTTGGCCTTCCAGCCGTTTTGGCACCCTGTAATCACGACGGGCTTATAGGGAAGTTCGTATTGGGATATAAATTCTCTTTGTGAACATGTTGATTGGTCTATTCTATCGCAATTATCAGTGAAGTCTTTAAATCTTTCAAAGTCTGCAGCGTAGCCGATCTGCTTCCATGACTCTTTTGTGTTCAGTTCTAAAACATAAATGCGCTTAACGACATTTCACCGGAAAAATCGTTTTTAAACATTTAAATTTTTCAATTTAGGTTAGATGCGATGTGACGGGTGTAAAGATGTTTACCTGGTCTAGCTTTCTTTTTTACTTCTTTTATTCTTTTTCGAGCTCTATGTGCGAATTCGTTTTCATCCATTATTTGCTAAATGTTTACTTAATGCTAGAATTCTCCTACATTAAAAAAGTCACGTAGACACATCGGCTTTCATCACATTTACGACTGCGAGAAGTGAAGGGAAGGGGGTAGGAAAAAAAATGTCAATGTCAAAAAAATTAAATCTTCTTTTTAAACCATTGCCTTGTACCAATGCATTATTTCGTCCCAGGACAGCTCAAAGGAATGTATTTTATATTTATAGGGTTGCAAACTCAAAATTTTGTTGTTACGGCTGATGCGGCCGTTGCAGGGCTCAGGGGTGCTATTTTCAAACTCGAGACATTTCTGATGAGAATCTTGAGAGAAATGAGTGCTCCCATACTTTGAAAATAGCCCCCCGGGTATTTAAATTGAAACTCATTTGTTGCGCATGCGGGACAAAATATTAAAATATTAAACGGTTAAAATAAAAAAATTAAATAAAAAAAGAACAGATTCCATTTTAAAAAACATCGATTCCCTATTACCTAAATTCGAAACATAAAAAAATCTACGTTCATGCAAAAAACAACTTTATTGAACTATATTTAGTGAAAAAACTGGTTCTTTATTGCACTAGTGCATTAAAAATTTTATTACACTCATCTGTCATTTTATTACAGCGTTTTCCCAGTAAACCACAAAGAGTTGGCATTTGCTCGGCCTGACACCGGCATGTACGGGAAGCCGAGTACTCGGATTGCCGTTGTCACGGTTTCTTCTGAGCCGGGAGTACCGTACCATTTGACGTAATTTAGAAGTAGAAACTGTATGTGGTCCATATTTGGCTTTGCAGACATGGGAGGCATTCTTACGAGCCAAACGCGGTGAATATTTGGCTAGCCGGGCATGGGAGGCATCCTTACGGGCCGAACTATATATAGATATATAAACGCGGCTACAATGTAATGGGCTGCCGACATTCAGCTGGGCGGACATGCTCTACCTATATGCCGAAGTTGCACCTGTATATCAGGCCGAGTACGGCATTCGGCAAGCCTCCCTTCGGCCCAGTTACGATGCCGATTAACTGTGTTTATTGGATTATGATCATGACAAACATAAAAAATATTAATATTGAAAATTGTACAAATTGTACATTTACTTTTAATATTAGTGGCAAAAACAACGTTTAAAGCTTAATTATTGTTCATAACACAGTTGTTCCTAAAGTTTTGGTTAAATTATTTTTCTTAACATAGTTATAGTACTTTTTCAATGTTAATCGATGCTTATTATTAGTTATTAAATATTTTGCTATTAAATTACGCTTTGTATTCTTCTGCACTTAGTGTCGCCTAAATAAAATATTTTTTGGTTTTTGCATGAACGTAGAAAACATATTGTATGCAACTCGTGCAAAAAGTGTTTATTGCACGCGACGTGAAATTGTCCAACGAGGCCGAGTTGCAACAACTTTTTGCACTTGTTGCATAAATAACGATTAACGTAACAAATACAAATAAATCTACAAACATAAAAATAAAAAATTGCATATTGCAGTGCTGCACAAAATAAAGTGTGAGATGTCAGTGTTTTTATCCGATTTTATGATGTTATGTCTAGTTTTATGCAGGGCTGGGCACAATGGGCGGTAGGGAGGGCAGCCACCCCCTCCCCCCCCAAAGCCCAAGTAGTTGGTTCAAAATTCAAACGCGGTTGGTTTAATCTATTTATCCTAGCAATTTTTTAGACTTATTAACTAATATACATAAAAAACAATTCAGTTGGTATTTTTATATCTTATTCCCCCCCTCCCCCAAAGTGTGTCTTAGTACGGCCCTGGTTTTATGTTAATTTATTTAAAACTGAGGGACAAACGGCTTCCAGCTTTACTACCAGAGGGAAGCGGGACAAAGCACTCAAAATGCTGGACAGTTTGGAACCCTAAGTACTTATGTAATCTAAAAATATGCTTACTACATAATACTACCACGTAGGTATCCAAATAAATTAAAAATAGTTATTTTTGAAAATTAAAAATAGTTGTCACTAAAATGAAAAGATTGTTACCTATTTTTAATAAACGTAGATACTAGATACCTATTTATTTTTATTTTTCTATGGTTTAGCCTAAAGTATTTACGTATACCTAATTGGTCGTTATAGAAGTTCTGTATGTATAAGGTGGGGAGGGCGGGCTGCTCCACAGCACTTAGGCTACATAAGGTCCATTGTTTGTCCTCCAGGGACATATATGATCTCCTCTCAACCTGGTAGGTAACGCTGAGGGTTGTCTAGGGACAGCCGTCTTATCAACTCGTCAAAGTCTTGCAGGTTATAGATTCGTCAAAAACCTACTGGTTGACGCTCAGGGGAGTCTAGAGACTGCTATCTTCTCAGATCATCCAAGTCCTGCAGGTTTTCAACTCATCAAACACCTGTTGGTTGTCGCTGGGAAGTGTCTAGGGAACCACCCTTCCAGGTCAAAGACCTGCAGGTTAATAACATCCCCGAGAGGTGTCTCCAGGTGCCTCTTTTTTGGGAAGAGGCCATTTGGTGGGCTTCTATCACCCCGATGGTAAATACCCGGGTGATGCCATTCTGTCCGCCCGCTCCACAGGGAATTTGTTAAAGAAGTTAACCCAGCATTATTCTATATTACAATTTATTAAAAATATATTACGTTCTAAAAACAATTTGACATTTACAACTTTTACAAGGCACACTTTAAATTAACGTTAATTTTGTAGGAACGTACTTATACCTACACATTTTATTTTCACAAAAATATCGACATATTATTTCCAAATCACTATTTTTTATAATTAGATCCCATATTTCGTTCTTTTTTTTATGTGATATGTTCCGTATTGGCTCATTTTTTTCTTATGGACTTTCTTGTGCTTTGAAAGGTGATCCGACCGAGCAAAGGCCTTTTCGCACAGCTCACATTTGTATGGTTTTACCCCGGAATGAGATCTTTTATGTCTAGCTAGCTCATCGGATCTAGAAAACTTCCAAGTGCAATTCAGCCAGTTACAGACAAAAGGTTTTTCTCCAGAATGCCTACGAAGGTGGGCCTTTAGGTGAGAGGATTTCGCATAGACTTTTTCGCAGTTTGTTATCGGACAGGCGAAGAATTTTTCTTCTTCTTTCTTCTGGCTGTAATCATGGTTCATTAAAGCATTCATATTTCTATTTTTGAACTCGTTGGAACTATTTTTAGCAATATTGTAAGACGTTTCGTATAGAAGATTCCTTCTTCTTCTATTCTTTTCGTCGCTCATATGTGGAAACATTTCTAGAATTCCTACATTTTCTGTGGCATTGTTATCCAGTGGGCTTAATTCGAAAGAAGGGCATAAAATATCGTTCAAACGAGAAGAGGATAACTCCATATTTAAGTCAATTAAGGAATCATTGAATATGTCTAGATCATTTACACTGCTCTTATTTGTTATGTCGTTAGAACCGAAGTCTAAATTGACTCCGAGAACGGAAATACTGTTTGAAAAATTTGTATCGAATAGAGTAAGATCATCTAGTTCTAAAAAGTTTTCATTCGCTATAGAATCTTCTAGAAGTTGTTCGTCATTGTTGAAAATGCCTTTTATTATGCTGTCTAGAAATTTGTCATCTCCGTTTAAAACTGGATACTCTTTTCTCTCCAGATCCTCGTAGCTGTCACAACTGGATGAGGATGAGCTCGCCATGTTGTCTAAGGGCACTAAAAGGTCCAGGAGTGAGAATTCCAGGCTTTTCTCCAGAATGTTAGTTTCTACTTGCTCTTGAGGCATTTTAGGACACCTACAAAAAGTAAAAAAATAAATTAATTATAAATTTATAATACTCTTAAATTATAGATAAACTTTTTTATAGTAGTATAAGTTTTTTTTTAAACATGGGAATACAAATGTGAAAATGCTGCCCTGCACTGTTTAGCTCCAAATGACCAAAAAAGGTATGTGTAATCAATTAATTTATATCTAATATTTTTTGGTTTCATGTTATTAATCTCCTGTTATTAGCGTGGAAAATAAATTAGTTACTCACTAAATTTTATATTTTAAGGCACACTTAATTATTGATTCGAGTAGTTATAAATTCACTTTCTAAATAAAAAAAATATTTCTAAAATGTTTATTTCTTTAAGAGAAGATTAAAAACAATTTTATTTATTATTAATTTTTGTTATCATATTTTTATATAAATACTTTTGTAATTGCAATATTAACAGGTTAATAATAACTTTTATAAACGTAATTTTAAATATTTTACCGCCAAATTTGTACTATCTGCATATTTTTCAAATAGCTAAGATTATTAAAAATAACTTACCAAATTTAGTTATGTAGTATCCAAATAAAAACATGTAAAAACTTTTCAACAATAAACAACCAGTATCACCAACGTGTATCTGTAATTAAAGTATGAAATCAAATGATAAAGCTCGTCATTTTAGATGAATTTCTGTCTGTTTACGACTATCAGCTCGTAACATATGCTTATTGCACCCAAGAGAGGCTAAATACGTTAGTGACAACTATTGCCTAGCACAAGTTTGTCTTTTCATATATAACGTTTCATCCCTAGAGGACGTGGATGTTTTCACAGGGAAGATTTTTTTTAATCAGCGGTACCAAATAAATATACATTAATAATAAATTACCAAATTAAATCACTTACTTGAATTTGTCCGTCTATATATTTTTTTATATACATAGATACATTATTTTCCATTTGCAAAATACCGTTTGATTCGACACATTGTTAAAAGATTACTTATTTATTCAAATTAAGAGAGTTATTAAATGCATTATCAAGATTTGCATTTAACAATAATTTCAATTACATAGTTCCCTCGCCAGCTTTTTTGATGTTTAATAATGACGCGTTAAGTATATATCGGCAATAATTACCGTACTAAAAGATTATTTATGTGGAATTTATACATTTTTTACAATTTAATCGACAGGAAATGGTCTAATTTACCCATATCTTCTCAATTTTGATATAGAAACAGTTATAATAATATGGAGTGATCCACAGACATGTTTCTGAAATAGGCCATAGAAAAATTTAGAAGCGTACAATTCTTACTTTTAAGTGCCAGTTTGGATTTAATTTGGAGCCGTGCGTAGTTATCACG